CTCTGGGAATCAACTTGACCTCTGTCATGTGGGCAAATGATGTTTGAAGTAAAAGTAGTCAAAACAAGCTCTGTGAAAAAATGTCAGTGGGGTTTCCTTACACCCATTAACTTATTTTCTCAAGCATTACCACATCTGTCAATTTCCCACTATGGGGTCTTGCCACCATTTTTTCTGGTTCTTTGGGAAAAGCTAAGAGGTCCCAAACATTAGTGTTTGTACATTCCTGAACAGTTAGCGTCAGTGAACGTGCCCTATCACTCCTCTCCTGTTACCACTTGGCATTTGGTGGGAAAAGCTGACAGACGCTGATAGCAGGGCTTTGGCAGTAAATGGATACCAGCATGCAGTCGCTCAGGTTTTCCTCCCTTGTGTGTTTGGTTTATGCTTATCATAGAGGTCAAGGTGGGGATGACTTCAACAGAAATATGGGATTACTTAACGTTGGTGTGCAACAGACCCTGTAATCACAAGACTTGATAACAGTTTTGAGGAGACGGCAGAGAATCAAGTGCTTTATGACTGCCGGGGTTTAGTCTGACCTTGTCTATAATGTGTCACATGACTCAACCTAAAGCAATAACAGTGATTTGGGTTTCCACAAGGTCATGATTAGCTGTCGTTATGACACAAGCCTGCTGTTATCAACCGGTTAGACAGAGCTTCTTAGACACCGTCTTGTTAATGTGGCAGTTTGATGTGTTCCTTTTGCTTCTTCCCTCTTTGCACTCATGGTATTGGCTAATCAAAGATAAAGATCAAGTTAAGATTATAAAACAGGTTTCGTCTCTGACAGTGGTGTTTATTCCTATCTTTGTATCCTTTATAGGTTTGGTAATTTCTGATTATGTGCATTCATCACATTTGTGGTGTTGTATTTCAGAATTGTTGTTTAAAACAGTCGGAAACACAGTGAAGTTACTTGTATTTGAATTATTTTCTGTAACTAGATATTTCATGAGCAACAGGCACTACCAAACATACTACTGTTACACTATCCATCGTGCAATGTCTTCGTACAATGACCTGTGTTTACATCTGGTTAGAAGTGTCAGTATTCACTTTTTTTGCAGGGTGTGTTTATGTGTAAACCTCTTTTTCCCTGAGTCAGGGTGTGTGTGTGTGTGTGTGTGTGTGTGTGTGTGGTGTGTGTGTGTGTGTGTGTGTGTGTGTGTGTGTGTGTGGTGTGTGTGTGTGTGTGTGGGTGTGTGTGTGTGTGGTGTGTGTGTGTGTGTGTGTTGTGTGTGTGTGTGTGTGTGTGTGTGTGTGTGTGTGTGTGTGTGTGTGTGTGTGTGTGTGTGTGTGTGTGTGGTGTGTGTGTGTGTGTGGTGTGTGTGTGTGTGTGGGTGTGTGTGTGTGTGTGTGGTGTGTGTAGTGTGTGTGTGTGTGTGTGTGTGTGTGTGTGTGTGTGTGTGTGTGTGTGTGTGTGTGTTGTGTGTTGTGTGTGTGTGTGTGTGTTGTGTTGTGTGTGTGTGTGTGTGTGTGTGTGTGTGTGTGTGTGTGTGTGTGTGTGTGTGTGTGTGTGTGTGAAAAAGTGATGCACCAGCATCCAGGAGGAGTCTTCTTTCTCTGCCAGTGTGTACTTGGCATACTCACAGCACTGCGGTTGAGATACAGTGTGCAGACACAGGGCAGGGCGATACGGAAGAACATAATATACCAATGGACAATGTCAGCATCCATATTTTGCCGAACCAAATGCAAAATCACAAATTTAGGGGAATTAATGGTCCTTCTATGGAAAAAAAAGTATTGAAAAGACACACAAGAAATGTATTTGGAATCTTGCCAAACTATTCATCGGCATTGTCATTATTCATTCGGATGTTCGTTTTAGTCTTGCTTAACTCAATGCGATCATGAAATAAGCAAATATGAAATGGAATAGTGTGCTACTTGTCACTGATATTGTACTAAAAACAAGAATATAGTCAGTATGCAGATGTTGGTTCCAATCAATCAGTAATGCAGCATATTGGACTGCTCAGCCCACCTTCACTTCAATTGATCCAGCACTCAGTGAAATCTGCTTTGTCAGCACGTTTTTGGACTGAAAGTAGCCCTCTCCATTACAGATGTATTTCACTAAGTTAATGCACTAATTGCACTTCTTTAAGAAAGTGCTGAAAGAAACAGTCCCCCAAAGCTACTTAATACAAATAGGGCTGTTTTCCATAAGGATTGCTCATGATGACATTTCATACCATAGCCCATATATGCAAGTCATTCCCAATAGCACATTGTTGTTGTTTGTATAGAGGTGAAAACACATTTACAGTCAGACATGTGGTGGCTGCAGGATGATCACCCTTGTTTGTTGGTACAAACCAGCTTCAGCCCCCCGAGCCAACACTCTATGTAGGCACACACACGTGATGCAATTATGAAGAGTGTGTGTGTGTGTGTGTGTGTGTGTGTGTGTGTGTGTGTGTGTGTGTGTGTGTGTGTGTGTGTGTGTGTGTGTGTGTGTGTGTGTGTGTGTGTGTGTGTGTGTGTGTGTGTGTGTGTGTGTGTGGTGTGTGTGTGTGTGTGTGTGTGTGTGTGTGTGTGTGTGTGTGTGTGTGTGTGTGTGTGTGTGTGTGTGTGTGTGTGTGTGTGTGTGTGTGTGTGTGTGTGTGTGTGTGTGTGTGTGTGTGTGTGTGTGTGTGTGTGTGTGTGTGTGTGTGTGTGTGTGTGTGTGTGTGTGTGTGTGTGTGTGTGTGTGTGTGTGTGTGTGTGTTGTAACTCGGCATTATCAGTAGGTACAATCTCCGTCTTCTGCTGTAAATAAGATATGCTCAAAACATTGTGTGTGTTGTCTTATGTTCCTGGCAAATGCCATTGATGGCACAGACGGGTAAAGGTAATTGACTTGTTTCACAGTATAAAACATCCAAACTTTAAATAACAAATATATTCCATATAGGAAACTCATTTAATGTACATTATAATGAATTCAATATTTTACATTTTACCCAACAAGACTATTTACAAAAAACGTTGAAACCGTAAACAATCATTGCAATTCAATATATATATATATTTTTTTTAATATTATGCACAGTCATCCTACACGTGGATTATTTAGATGAACTCAATATTTCACCAACATTATCCAGTACTGTATCCTCAGGATTGTTCCATTTATTTTACCCTGAATGCTGATTTACACACTGGTCTGCCTAGAGAAGCCCCCGCCCAACACTCTCCCCACTTTGTATACATAATAGAAAACCTCCTTTTTACACAGCTGTAGTTGCTGGTTTGAACAGGTATCAGAAGCAATTGGAGATTCAGATTTTCTGTAAAGTTTACGCTTTGCTTGGCATTTGTTTCCAAAGTGTTGTTACAGTTATCAAAGAGGCTTAACAAAAACTTCTTATCTTCTAAGTTATCATGTGATGGCAATAAACGTAGTCTGCTTTATTATCCCTCTCCCGACTGAAAACCTTTGACATCAACTACTCGCATTAATGGGAAGTTCAGATTTTATGACAGGCGTTCATGCCAAGTGAGATAATGACATACTTTCACAACACAAAAAGTTAAAGAATAATCTCAGTTGAACCGACAGTTTGTAGAAACACATTTCGATATTATTATATTATTTAAATGAAAGTATCGCTATCTTTAGTTCTATGCTCTATGCTTCTATATCTCACCTGTTTGTGTGCAATCTCTCTTTTGAATGTCACTAGTAATGAATTCACTCCGCTCAGATTTCTGGCTCTGTTGTCTGTCAGTCAGCAGGATTACAGAAAGATATCTGGCGCAATTTTCCCAAAACTTGGTAAAAAGGTGTGGCAGGGTCCAACGAAGAACAATTACATTTTGGGGCAATCTGAGGCATTTGTGCTGCGTTCATGTGGTGTTGGTATCACAGAAACATGAGTTCCTGACTGGTAAAACGTATGTGAAAGCCCCATCAAATTTAAAAAAACAACTCGAAAAAAAGATTTCAAAGATATTTTTGTTCTTCTTCTGAGCAAAGAAAACTCATCTTCACTGTAGCGTCCTTGTTGTTTCCTCATAATATTTTAAAGCTCATGAACACATCGGGTCAGAATAAATCTTACTTAGTCGGGAAATAGGACCTTATAGGATGAGGAGCATGTAAACAGGAACCACACAGATACAGCAGACCAGCAAAGAGAAGTGATTGAGCAACAGACAAGATGCAAGATATTAGAAAACTGTAGCTGATATTTGATCATCACATTTGTGTACCATGTCTCAATAACAACACAGCAAGAACAATGAACAAAACATGTTTTCAGTGGTCCGAGTTATTTTTTGTAAGGCGCCATTTCGGAAAGCACTGTAAAAAAAAGCAAGATTGAAGTTGGTTATTAGTTACTTTGGTGAAAATCAATCAAATGTAACACATCAACAGAAAAATGGATGCCAGGCTTATAACAGAGTTTGGCTTTAAGCAAGACACTGAATCACTGACAGCTGTGATGTGGTTTACACTGACCTCTGACCTTGCATTGTTAAACTCTGACATTGTGACATTTTAGTTTTGACAAAATAAACCCTCTGGCTTTATTTTTGGTGTGTTTCAGTGCACAGATAACATTCATTCTGAAGGGGCTGGAAAGGCAGTTTTGGCTGTGGCAGGTTGGGCGGCTGTAGTTACCCTCCTGCCAGCCGGACCCATACACACTGACCTTTAGTACAGTCGCCTGGGGGGTAAGCAGGGGGTGTGAATGGGGGACAGAAAGAGAGGGAAAGAGTTGGAGGGAGAAGATTGTGGAATGTGGGAGAGAGAGCAGAAAGTGAATGGATCAAAGAGAAAAAGAAAGAGGCAAGAAAAAAAGATGACTAGACATAGAGAGAGAGAGAGAGAGCGAGGGAGGAGGAGGTGTGATTAGTGTGTGAGTCTGAGCTCTGATTGGTCTAGCAGCCTGTGTGTGTGTGTGTTTGCCTCAATGTGTGTGTGCTTCTAGCCAGTGGGCGGGGGATTAAGCCCGCGTCACGTGGTCTCTTTAGCTTCTTTTCCACACAAACACACACCCTCATTTGCAGAGGGCACACCGACACACACACACACATACCCTCTCACAGTGTCACATACACACTCACAGCTGTTGATACTTCTCTCTCTGCTGAGTGCCGAGGAGCAGAGCCCGCAGGAATTTGGGGGAACCTGCTGTCTGCTGGCAAACATCATCTATGTGGACAATCTGAGAGGAGGACTGAATGATTTTCTAATCGGTGCCTGGCTTTTACTTTCTGGCGTTCACATCCCGCTCTTTATCCCTCTCGTCTCTCCCTGGCTTTTCTGGGACACAGTGTTGGAATTTAAGCGCAGACAGCGAGCAGCAGAGAAAAACAGAGACATGTGTTTTGCCCCAGCCGCCTCCTACTACTGCCCATTCTCTCCTATTCACTGACAAAGCAGGAAATACAAGGTTGGTTGGGCTTGGCTTACTTGTTTATGGGCTGGTTCATTGTGTCATTACACATTGTACGACATGTGTCTTTTTTGGAATACCTACAATATGTTCTTATTTTTACTAGAGTATTTTGAAGACTTTATCACACACCTCCAGAATGAGGAATACAGGTTGTCTTCTTTTCCCACAAGCTGCCAAAGCATGACTCCCTCTCCAATCCCTAAAACTGATTTGTAGTTTCAGGGGAATTCCTTGTTAGTAAGGCTGCTTGGACACACACACACACACACACACACACACACACACACACACACACACACACACACACACACACACACACACACACACACACACACACACACACACACACACTATGAACATGCTTGGCAGCCACAGTGCCTTTAGTGTGAGCACCAGAGAAGATTAGCTGTGGCTTTTATCTGTAATGTGCACAATAGGAGAGGTTGTGTGTGAAGAAAGGCACTCTTCTAGAGTCACGGCAGTAATAAGTATCAGCCTTCTACATAGTTTTCTTGAAAATGTTGATCATTCAGAGGGAATGCCCATACAAAGACTCAAAGTGTGGTTGTTTGTCTGTTGCAATCTGGTCAATACTGTTGGCGTGTTGCTTTCTCATCCAAACTGCAACCAGCGGTTCCGTGCATTGCATTTACTGACAAACACTTAGACTGCTGGTGAGTTAGAGGTGTGTGTGTGTGTGTGTGTGTGTGTGTGTGTGTGTGTGTGTGTGTGTGTGTGTGTGTGTGTGTGTGTGTGTGTGTGTGTGTGTGTGTGTGTGTGTGTGTGTGTGTGTGTGTGTGTGTGTGTGTGTGTGTGTGTGTGTGTGTGTGTGTGTGTGTGTGTGTGTGTGTGTGTGTGTGTGTGTGTGTGTGGTGTGTGTGTGTGTGTGTGTGTGTGTGTGTGTGTGTGTGTGTGTGTGTGTGTGTGTGTGTGTGTGTGTGTGTGTGTGTGTGTGTGTGTGTACATATTTGTTTTGCATGTACTCACTGTGCCATTTGGAGCATGTGTGGATATAATTAGCCAACGTACAGATTCTTTCCTGGTATTGTTGGGCTGGTAACATAACCCAAAAGGCTGTTTGTCTATTTTTAGTGTAGGCAGCTCATTAAGACTCAAGCAGCCACACTTTGAAGCTTCCCCCAGGCCAGATAAAGATATGAGGTGTGTGTGGATTAGTGTGTGATGTGGCTGGTGGACAACTTATCCAGTGTGTATGTGCTGACTGCTTGTTATATTAATCAGCATTATTGTGACTTCTTTTTGTAGTAAGTTTATTGCTATTCATTTTGTCCTGTTTTTAAGGGAAGAAAATAAAAGGTCAATAGTAATGGACAGAGATATAACGCACTATAGAGGCAGACAGAGAGATGGAGCAGCAGATACATGGTTTGGACGTAGGCTTACAGATAAGCTGGCTGTTATCAGATAAAGACGGAGAGTTGTGTGTTGACTGAGGTGCTGGCACTGCTCCAGCTCTAAATGTCAGGGAACCACAAGGCATTATGGGTGAGCAGCACACTCACAGCTCTAATGGTTAAGATGAAGGAAGGACATTTTTATATCAATACATCTTTCTTCTTTTTAGATCACATGACTGAGGTTTTACATATTATTTTTTAAGTCACTCAAATGTTAATGCATGAGCTGCAGCAAGTGGGTAACTTTTCAGATTTGTTATTATATATTTTTATGTTTTATTATTTTTACGTTTTTATGCAACATCTTGATTTCTTTAGCTTCTCAAATGAGTGGATTTTTTTTCTTTTTTTCTTCGTCTTATGTGATATTTATTTGAATATGTTTTGGACCATTAGTCACACAAAGCAAAGAATCTCAATACATTAGCTCAGGTTTAAGTAACTTCATCAGCTTTTTGTTCTTTTCTGGCAGTTTTTAAACCAAAATATGAACTTATTATTTGTAAAACAATAAGTAGAATGGTGAATAACTTGCAGCCCTATTAGAATCTAGTTACATATACACGTCTTACAATTAATTTATTAAGCTACTTTTCCGTTTATTTAAAAGAAGAACATGTGTTTGATAAATCTCCCTGTCTTTCATCAAGCAAGCTGTTAAGTAAATGTTTCCACACCATTCATTGTGTAACTTTTGGTAACCAAAAACATTTGCATCATGGTGATTTTAATAGCAATAATTTGTTTTATAGCACTCTTAAAGTTATTGTTTATACAGGAGAAGTTTTCATGGACAACTAGCCCACTGACGAAGACAGGTTTGGTCTTCAGAGCTGTGAGAGGAAGGGGAGGGTCAGTGGAGGTCAGGGGTCAGAGGTCACATTCACCTTGCCTGTGGGCAGCAGTCGCAGTCTAGCGCCCTTTAGTAAACACAGCCTGCCTCGTCTATCTGCCACAGATTAATGTAGCCTTCAATTACAATACAGCGATGTCATCAAATGCCATATCTCTAAAGTACAATTGTCTCCAGTTTCCTGTCGGTCACTGAACTCAATCTAAACTACTGTGTCTCGCTCAAGAAGTGTTTGATAGAAACACTAGAGAGCATCTGTGGTGGAGCATGACATTTGAATTATATAATTGATGCAATAAAGCGAGGCTCAGATTTCATCCTTACTCAGATTAATTGTGCCCAAAACCAACAACGCCACTCCCCCCTCACCCTCCAGACCGTTGATCTCTCTGGACGTGACCCGACCGGGAGGTTTCAGGACGGGGACAATGATCTATTGATTCAGAGCGATGGAGGGGGTGAGGCTGGACGCTCCTGCTGGGGACTGCTGGAGTTGTGTGTCTTGTGACAGAGCAGGGATAGTACTGGTGCATGTGTGTGACTAAAGGGAAGGGAAAGGCACTGTTTACAGAACTTTTTTGGGGGGTGTAACTTTATTTTAGTGAGGCTACAGCTGTTCAGCCGCACAGAAATCCAATCATTCAGCAAATTTCAGACATGAGCTTCTACTGTCAATCACAAGGTGTAGCTGGTTGTATTTCCCCTACTTTTGGGCACTGGAGCATCTTTGAGGACGTACTGTACAAGAGGAAAAAAAAGCACTACAAGTAAAGGAATCAGAGCTGAAGCAGTGAGTAGAAAAAGAAGTGCTGAGTGACGAGCGGAGGTATAACGATTTGTCGACTAATTGATTACTTCGGAAATTGTAAAAACTATTTGCAAAATGCAAAATGGCGAAAAGGCTATGTTTAGCCTCTCAAATATGAATAGTTCATCCTGTTCTGTTTTTATATGTTTTAGGTTTTCCAAATATATTGGGATTTTGGACCGTCAAAACAAGACACCAGCTTTTGACTTTGAGAAACTGGATGGACATTTTTCACTATTTTGTACATCAGAAAAAATTGCCACATGAATCAATAAAGAAAATAATCTTTAGCTGCAACCCTGATGGCAAATTGACGATGTTGCACACATTGCACAACTGAAAATAATGATCCATTGTCTGCGCCCTGCCAACGGAGCCCCGCGCCCCGCCTGAAATTCAAGGTGTTTTTTTATTTTGTTTTAATTTTTTAATAAAAAATATATATATATATATATATATATAGCACCAAATTGCAACTGAAGTAATCTATCTACGGTCACTTTTCACATTGAACATGTGCTCTTTTATTAAATAAACCAAACGCCTATGTTATTTATCCAATGTATGTGCATGTTTCAGTGTCCATTGCTTTGCGTATTCACATTCTCCCTCCGCTCTGTTTCTGAAGGGCGGGGCTCCGCTCCCCCCCCCACACACACACACACACACACACACACACACACACACGAATGCACACACTCACAATCAGAGACAAGAGCGGAGGAAAGGAGGAGAACAACAAAGTGTAAAAAAGTCAAACAAATCTGCATTATTGCCCCGAGCTCTGCTGTCTGCCCGTTTGTGTCCCCCCCAGTTTCAAATTTGTTTATTATTATTTTTTAACCTCAAGCCGTTCGATAAAAAAAAGAAATTCAAAAAAAAAATTCCGGGCACCTCCAGCAGCACCCTGCCAAGGCAGTAAACCTAGGGGAAACACTGGTGACTATTCCCATCTCCAACACGTCATTTTGCGGTTTTGTCCTAGCCTGTTCTGTGCACAGTAAAGTAGTTCATGCACACAGGAGGATGAATTCAATAACAGGTTACATAACTCTTCACTCCCCAGCTGCCTTTTATTAAAGAGGATTTTTGGGCGGCTTTCATTTGCTTCCATAGTATAAATCACAGCTTTGGTAGTGGGATCAGGTACTGAGCGAGAGGCTTCCTGTGCTCTTATGGATTCTCTGGTTTGGACATTGTGGCAAAATATTGTCAAACTAAAAGTCAAATTCTCCTCAAACGTTGTGTCTGTGATTTGTCACATCTACTGTACTGTATGTCTTTGGAAAAATACCGAGACTATCTCCATAGGCCGGGTTTGAGAACTATACCAGTTTAAATGACGAATGGAGCATAATGTTGGTAAAAGCAATTGGCAACCACAGTGAGCTACTTCTGAATTGCCCTTGAGCAAGGCATTGGACACTTGACATCTCAGAATCCAGTAATAGAGAAAGCAGCATTGATGAATGTATACTCATAATGTTAAGGTAATCCTACGGAAAGGAAGTTTTGATTGTTGTTGCTAGCTTTCTTGCTAATTAAAATTAGTACAAAAGTGTTTTTCATCCATTACGGAAAGTGAAAAAAAAACCTAAAAACATGTTTATCCATTTGCAAGGCTTTTCTTAAACTCATTGTTTGTTTTCTAAGAGTATGACTCTTGCATGCCCTGAGCTGTGTGTCACTACACTAATCTCAGCCATCTTTATAAGTGGCATTTGACCTGAGTGAGTAGCTTAGCGGTGCGCAAACCAAATCACCTCTCCCTCCCTCCCCCTGTTTCCCATCATATGGAGTAAAGAAAAAAGGCTATAAAGGGGGAAAAGAGTCACTACTGGCAGAGTAACCCCCACTTTTTGATCCCCCTGCTGTTGACCACTTGGCATTGGGATTCCTTTCTTAAACCCTCTCTCTCTCTCTCTCATATTCCTCTGCTCTTCAAGCCAAGACACCATCTGTTAGAGCTCCCCTAAGCCCTGCCTCTCCTTAATACACCACCAGCTTATCTTTGCTACTGCAACAGCAGCCGTGTTGCAAGAGAGTCTGGAAAATGCAGTTCTATATGGTCTTTATCCCTCTCTCTTTGTATGTAACCCAGGAGGTAATGCATTTGATAAACTGCTTGTGAAAATGGTAAAGAAAATCAGGACACTGTTGAACCAACAAATGAACCCTTTTTGGTCAAGTTTTAAAGGAATGTGTGTAGAACAGATTGGGGTTTGGTCAAAAACAACTGTACAATAATCAATTAATTCTTTGTTTTTTTTAGGATTTCCTCTACAATATGTATTTGGTTCACAAAGTAAAATATTTAAAATACGTAACAAACATGTATTTCCTTTCACCTTTATTGGCAATTTCCCTTGGCATTGCAACAAAGCACACGAGTCACTCTTGATGCTTTACTTGAACAATTCCTGTATCCTGCAAAATGCTTGTTGTCCTGCCAGCTGGCCTGTGATTGAACGTTGGGAGTAAACCACCTCACCAGTCAAGACCCACATGTTCAAACAAATCTGCTCCTGTCCTCCTCATGCACTTTGTTGGATGGTGTGTCAGAGTGACCTCACTTATGACAATGTGCAGTTTCAACACGGCATGTGTATGGAACAAAACTCTTCTGTCAGGATGTTATTTGCTTTAAGGAGCAGCCCCCTTCCCGTGTTTGACAAACACAAGTTGTGACCCTGTCATCTGCTTGTGATATGTTGTTTTTCAGTACATTTAATTTGCATGAGCTAGAGGTTTTCTATTCAGTTTAAAAGTAATATATTGCCTTTTTGCTGTCCATTAATGAAGGCTTTGTTCGTGCGTTAGTTTTATATTTGAGAAAAAAAGGCAGCATATGATTTTAATTGTAAAAATACACATTATGAATTTTTATTGACAATATCCATGGCATTAATAACGTTTCATACCACATTGTCATAAGGGCTTAAGTTTGAATGCCGGTACATCCTGTTCTGTTCCCTCAACCTCTTTATGTGCTATGAAATACTGAAAAAATGCTTTTGTTATGGTTAATATAAACTTCCACTTGTCTTTTAAAATGACATGTTTTCTCTTCTCTTCTCAGGTGAGCGTCACAGCGGCGGGCACAGAGAGAGAGAGTAAGGTGACGCAGGCATGAGTGCGGAAAACCATCAGGGGGTGGTGACCACCCCACCCCCGCCCAGTGGAGGGACTAAGGAGCGCTACTTTGACCGGGTCGACGTCAACGATCCGGAGTACATCAGGGCCAAGAACATGTCACCTGACCTGCGGCAGGACTTCAATGTTCTGGAGCAAAAGAAACGTGTCACACAGATCTTACAGAGCCCCGTAAGTGTTGACTAAGTTTTAAAATGGGAGTTATGCATGCAGTGCTTACTGGAGGGGAGATTGTCCAGAGGAAAACAACAATTGACAGACTGCAACTTTCTCAAATGATTGGTGTAGAAGACAGTATAATGCTATCAGCCAAAGCAACGAAAGGTGCTTTTTCATTTGTTCTTTACATTGCAAAGAGCATAGAGTCCTGAAAGGTCGATGGATCCAGATTCCTTTGGTAAACAGGTTACTCTAAATGTGCGGCCTTTATCTGTAGCGTTTTGGTTTGTATTTGTAGACTGATTGTTATTCACCAATCAAGTTGGAGCGGGCTTTGCTTGAATGCAGGTAAACAGTCAGTATGTAGGGCAAAAGAGGTTAAAACATTGGCCTAAAGGCAATCTTCAAACCGTTCAGCTATCGGCTAACGTCTAACGACAATTAAGGCGGACTTCCTGTTGCCAGTAGGTTTTTCTGTGACTGAATCAATATTGGCGTGTAAAAGTCGTCAGGCCTGAACCCTTATCATGCTTGTAAGATCTTGGGTCAATTGGACTTTGTACAATTTTAAAAGGGAGTCAGACGGCGGACCTATCGAAGGTGTAACCCACCTGTGTCTCAATGTATGCTGCAATAGGCTCGACCCCACCACAAAACAATTTATTCAAGAAGTATAACAGAAAGGAGACGAAACTACAACTTCCCGTTTTTTCTTTTTGTCAGTTATTATTCCCCAATACATTGATTTCTAAAGAGTTACAGTAATTTACATAACCTGTGCTTGCGTTGATGTTGTGACTCTAGCCACAGCATCACAGTAGTCAGTGATCCACTAAAACTCTAATATATCTAGCAGCTACCACACCGCTGTTCAGCCGTACTGCTGCAGCTTTCCAAGGGCCCTCCATTCCAGCCGCTCTGATGTTCGGTCAGGTTTTGCTGAGGTAAACAATCCTGTGAGCCCAGGGCATATTTCAGCCAACAAGCATCATGTTGTGGTTTAATTTTCTTTACCTGGAGGTCTGGACTCTTGCTCTACTACATAAGATGCTGGAGGAGGTACAGTTAGAGGATTGAACCCATTTGGGACCACACATAGATGTTTAGGCACTCACGGCATTGTGGAGTTATCGGATATTGTGGTTGTAGTAGTTTAGAAGTTGGCTACAACCTCTGCTGAGATCAGAACGTGATTAAAAACAGGGAGCAGTACAGAGAGCACAAGCTACAGCAACACAAAACCATAAATGACATAGCCAGACTTCACAGATAAACACATCAAATGTCATAGTTTTCTTGCATTATTTAATGCGTTTCAGATCAGTTTTTTTGAACCTCAAATTCATTTACGTCTTTGTCATGAATGCAACTCTGTTAGTAATAGTTTAAACACACTCATTTACCCATACACAAAGTCAAGCTCAGTAATAGCTATTGTCCTATCTTGCTCTTTGAACAGTTGCATCACCATGTGTTAAGATTTTACAACAACTCCCCCGGCATTCAGTTCAGCGTACGCAGTATTAGGAATATTTACTCTGCACTATTTACTCAAGGCTAGTCGCTGACTGAAGTGCTCCTCACTGTTAACAGAGGGATCTGTGTGTATGTGTCTATATGCATTTGTACTTTGAAACACTTTAAAGGGACAAATGCACTTTGAAGGTTTTAGATTCAGCAGGGACACTGCAGATTTATGGTGAGGTTGAAGTTAGGTAACGAACAAAGTAAGACATTGCATTGGCAATTAATGTCATGAATGAATATCCCTCACAAGTAGAGTAAAGTAAGCCTTGAAGTGTGTGTGATGGCTGCCTTGGTTTGGCCCATTTCCTTTTAAGCTTTAAATGTGATCCTCATTCTGCACATGCCCAGTGTTGTTTTCTTGGCACGCAGCATCTTTTGGCAGATGTCTGGGATGGTGCTGCTGATGCAAGTTACCACTTGATATTCTGTCAAAATGTCTATGTATGTGATCCTTGTCCACAAGTGCAGTTAAGAGTGATTCAATTAGAAAGTACATTAAGAGGGCCAGGCAGACAGTGGGCAGAGTTCGGTTGCACCAAACTTTTCAGTAGCAAACCATCCCTGTTTATTTTTCACCATGTCTGTCTGGCACAGCTGACTCCAGTCCGTCCTTATGGTTCAATTCCTCATGTTGAGTTGGTAAAGGTGGTCAGTGAGAGAGCTTTCTGACCAGCACCTGACAGCACCATAGCAATGGCCACAGTGATCTATCAAACATATCTGTGTATATCACGCCTCTGTAAAATGTATTAATATTTTTTATTTTATATAAAAAAAATCAGGATTTATGGAGACCGGAACAAAAAAACTTGAATATTGGACTTACATTAATCAGCTGCCCAGAAATAAGACTTGTGCCCTTAAGTAGCCAATCAAATAAATGTTTCTGCATTAAATGTACACTGTTCTTTTCCTGTTTTATTACAATTCACGCTGCATACCTTTGAGAGATGTTTAACTAGTGAAGGCTGTTTGTTTATCACCAGTGATAACTGTTGCTGTCCCTATAGACTCCATAAGATACCCAGGCCCATTATATACCGCTACATCATACTGTGTGTGTTACACTTGCGGTCATGCAATGTTATGTACATTATTAGCGCTTGATGTGGTTTTGAATGTGAGCCAACCAGCTCTCGGGCAGCAGTAACAGGTGGCTCCCTGTTGGTCTCAGAGGGGTTTTCAGCCCGTACATCAGGACAATTGGCCTCACAGCGCTGGTTTACTCATATTCAACAAAAACAATAACAAGTGTGTGAACAGCTGGAGGTGCACACGTGTTGCCTCTCTTTCTCCCATCATCTTCATTTCACTCTTCATCTCCCTCAGTCCCAAATTCAGCTACAACAACAACAATGTCAACAGCTGTGTGTCAACACATGGCGCCTCTCTCATAGTCTCCCTCTCCTCTCTCTCTTTCTCTCGGTTTGTTTTGAATGCAGTGTTATGGGACTAGTGGCGGCTCCAGATTACATGTTACTAGCGCTCAGATGGCAGGTTGTATTTTAAGACAGACCAATATAGACCAAGCTGGAATGAATAGACTCAGCTGACTGCAGCCACCAGCCTCTTTCGAAAGCATTGTTTACCTTTTAGAAGTCAAAGGCTACAGCTGGACCTTGAACCCTTTTAGGTCCCTTTGTATCACAGCAGATAGTGTGGACACTCTGAAACAACCACTGAAAGGTTTTGGATGTTTAAAAAAAATATTTAAGTGAATTGATAATTCCTTTAAACAAACAGTAGACCATTATTTCCCCCTTACTGAACTTTGGGTTAATTCATGGTTAAATCTGCTTAAGTGTACTTGACTTCATTGGTTATGGGGAAGGAAAAGAGAAGAGAACGATTATTCAGATGTTTTTTGGTGGTAATGGCGGTTAACATAATGGTTGCTTTGTATTGTATCAAGGGTTGATATTTGCCTGGAGGTTGTTTGTGAGGCACACTACATTTCCAGAAGTAGATTGGACAAAGATTGCGGCTGCAAATCCAAGTCTCATGATGTCATGGTTGGTAAATCATCCAATTGACTTTTTTGTTTAAAATTCTGCCGTTAAGCTTCTCTTTGTGCTGGGAACTAGGTTGCTGTGACACAAAAGGTCAAAAGCCCTCAGAGGCTTGAAATTAGATCAGATGAAATTGAATTTGCTGCGTCTATTTTCTGCATCTCTGCTCATCTTGCTTTGTCCCTTGCTGTTAGTTTTTCCTCTCTTCTGCATCAGCCACAGAAATCACTTACTGAGGCCAAGTGGTACATTTACGCAGCCTCATTTGCACCAGTCTGGTGGTTTTCGGAGGAAGTGCAACATTTTCTACTCTTCCCCCTCACTTTCCAGAAAACAAGTGGATAATTTATGGTGCTCTGGCGGGTCCCGCCGAGAACCCCCTCATGTGAGGTAAATGTCACGGCTGCGCTCCATTATGTTTCCCCTTTCTTTTTCAAGTCCTCAAAGTCACATTTGATAGAACATTAGTGGTTGAACTGACTCCAGAGACTCTTTTTAAAACCACCGCCTCTCCTCTCCTCTCCATGTCTCGACGGCTGTGTTTCAGTTTTGGCATTTCACGACATCTCTTGGGTGCTGAACTTAGCAAAACCTCCAGCAGTTGAGCAATGCTCTCAGGATTAGAGGGTAACATATTGAAATGTTTCTAAGTCCACTTTAGCTCATGTGCAACCTCAAAAGGAAAGGTCAAAAATCCCTCTGGAGCTCGGTGGTAAGCTTTCTATGAGTTTCCTCATCTGGCAACCGGAATCACGTTTTTTATTCAAAATCTGATATAGATGTTTTATATATTATATTATTAGGTATAATAAATGTAGTTTTTGCTTAATGAAACTATTTTCAAATGCGTTGATCCAAATGCCAGATTGGTATCAGTGATAACACTCGCCTGTATCGCCCTTGACGTAACAAATCCCCATTAAATACAGCTTCCTTGTTTCTGCTGTCAGTCACACTTGTTGAGTCACGACCAGCCATTGATCTTGTTTTTAGTGCAACAGCAATCCCCTGCTTGCCATAAAAAAACTATACAATTAAGTTCAGTGAAGTAAAAAAGAGCAGTCCTATTCAAATGGTGCATGGTATCAGCCATTATACCAAGTTGATGTACCTGGGAGAAAAACAGTTGGATTGGTGCATCTCTAGACACACTTTAGATGAATCCACACATAAAAACAGTGTCATCTTTATATATCGGTACATTTTATCGCCAATTTCACAAATGTGATTTGTGTTAATTATCCCCTCTACTTACATTTTACCGCAATTTCTGCCGGGGTCAACAAGTTCATCCCTCAAGAAAAAGAGCTTAGATTTTATACAGTAGGGAGCCGATGCAGCTGGAGAGGGGGACCAATTTCACTGACGCACACTCTAAGGTTAGGTGGGGGGAAATCAATATCATTGGCAGGCACTCTCTTACTTTGTAACCCTGTCACGTTGGTGGCTTCAAAGAACTCCTTTGTGCTGACATAACTGGGGAGGTTATGTCTGAAATTACAGGCTTCACCTTGTGTGTGTGTCTAAAAGCTTTGAAGACAATGAGTGTGCCTTATATCTATCTTTGCATGTATTTCTCCGTATGTGCAAGTCTTTTCATGGCAGATACAGTATGTTTATTAGACTCTGAGGTTACTCCTTACATTTTGTTTATTCTGCCAGTTGACAATAATGCAATTTGAGACCTGAAAATATGCAGGTCACTATATGATCTTTCAGGTGAACTATGATGCATTTTGTAGGAGTGAAAAGTATTACTAACCTGCTACCGTAAATGACCCAAAAACACAGTGTCAATAGATGTAAGAAAACAGTAACTGATAGTTGAGACTGTCCAATAAAAGCTTCCTGTACACGTTCTCAAGCGTTGGTTTGCTGTGCAACGACTCAAACTGAGCTGTGGTGAGTCACATCCAACCACAGTAGTTTAATTTAACATGAGGATACATTTGTGTGTGAGGTAATGCTGAAACCATCACTTCTTTGATCAGTACAAGCCCAAACATGCAGGACCAGCCTTGCTTCAACAAAGAGATTCAAAGTTCTGTCTTCCTTTCCCACAGGATGACGTACAAGTGTCACCTGTATCTGCAACAATAACTGAGCAAGACAAAAGGAAACTTCTCTGTAGGACACATGCCCTTGGAAGTATAAAAACTTCCAGTTCTAACACAATTTCCAAGAAATTCTCTTTGGAGAATGTGTAATTATATTCTTACTCAACGTCCAGCACATAGTAAACTCTTTCCAGGAAGCATCTGCCCTGACGTAATGTCCTTCAGCTAGGCATGAATCCTGTCAGCTCATCCATCCCTGTGGAAGGAAATATTTCTCAGCAAGAACCAATAAACTCAGGGAACGGCCAAATGTATATTTTTTTACTTTGAATAACTAGCCCCGTTTTACTAGTGTCTCTATCTCAGGCTTCGACATGATCACCGGCCAAACTCCAACCTGCACATCAACTTCATTTAAAACCACTGCAGATCTATTTTGAAATATATGATTTTTTTTTGCAGAAACGTTTCCTAATGTCTCCGATTTGATCACATGGCCTTGCTTAGTAAAAGTAAAATTCTCATCAGAGTCGAGCCGTTATTGCAGCTAAAAAAAACACTTGTCGTGTGATGTTATTTCTGTTGCTGCAGATGTGGGGGTTTTGCCGAAATAATAATGATATGATCCACTTTAGGCCCCCGGATTAATCTGTTTAGATGATGGGAATCAAATCCCTGCTGTCATAATCTTATTGGGAACACACAATTTGTAGAGCATGTGTGTGTGCGTTTCTGAAAGTGTGTGCTCATATGCTTTTTAATATGTTTCATAAAAACACTGCAGGCTTGTTGTGTTGAAAGTTTCACTTTGGTTGATTGGTACCGTATGTGAAAAACAATGGTGATTCTGAGGATGTTTTTTAGCATCTTTTTGCTAATTTGTTGTTGTTTTTGACCCACCAGGATTGTTTAGGTTCACTCTAAGCTCTCACATAGCAAACAGTGTAACGCTAGTGATAATCGTTCTGCACAGGCCCAAAACAAACATCTTTTTAGTCGAATAAGGAACATATTTTCTGCCAGAGGCTCAGGTTTCTCTGCTCTGGTTCCAATAAACTGTGTCTTCAGCGCTGCAGCTCCAATGTCAATGCCATAGCACAACAGTCTTTGAAACAGAAATGCCCAGAAAAACAACTGAAAACTAAAAAACATGACCCACCACTGTCAGACATCCGCAACAGACCGGTTGTCACAGCAACCTTGCCACCAGGGACTAAGGAATGTCTGGCCTGGGTTCAGAGTCAGCGGTGCTCCGGGACTGCATTCGTCCTGATTCAGGGGGTTGCTCCACTTTTAACAAAACACCCCCACATGGGCATCTGACCAAAGGCCTCCACTCCAACACTAATGGACATGGGGTGACTTGAGGGGATGCAGAGGGGGCAGAGATGTTTTATTGAACAGATCTATTGGGAATGTGTTGACTGTTGCATGAACACTGAGGTGAAATAAAGGCATGAATAGTGGATGTTGCCCTGCAGTTGGAGTCAAGGCATGGAAATATTGTGATGGACTATTTTCACTCTGAGGGCAGGGATGATGTGGCACTAAATTCGCATCACAAGTCAAAAGTGGATCAGACATTCGTAGGTAACTTCATGAAGTGCAGTCCATTTAAGACCCGATCAAATGGGTAGGTTGCCTGACATCATCAGGCCAAATTGCAAATGACAATTGGTGTGGACCCTCTTAGTCCATTTTCAGACTTTAAAAATGTCTTCAAACCCAATTGGTTAACCCTAACCATGTGCCTCTGGACTCACACAGCTGTAATAAAATTAGCTGTGGGGAAAGGTGAGCGCCCCCTGAGAGGTTAACAGCCTAATTAAGATTATGAGCCGCTAAACAGCTAGTACTTTTTTATTGTCTGCTGTTACATGTTGCATAGCCTTTTGCATCATCTAGTTTAAACTGACACTTCCTGTAGACTGAGAAGTCTTGTGATTTCTCTTTAAAACGTTTTATTCATGAGCTGTTTCATGATAAGAAACATTCTCTTTCATGGGAAGTGAAAGCATAAAATGATGCAGCACTTTGATTTGATATAACGCAGCCAGCTGTGAGTGTATCTGGTCTTACATAGGAGAGTGTAAGCATATACTTTGTTGTGTCTGTAGATTCAACATATGACTGTGGTCTGGACGGGGATTAACCACACACACAAACACACACTCTGTCCCGGTCAGGCAGCCAATCACAATGCGGGCCCCGAGCTAGCCAGACAACCAATCCTGACTCAGCTTGTTGGATAGCCAGCCTATCCTGTTTGAGCTTCATGAAGTACTTTGAGTAAAATTCCAATTGACATCGAGCAGCAAGTCTAATCTGTGATTAACACGTCCGTGTGTTTATTCCTTCTCCTCCTGTCTCTCTGAATGTTCCCACTTCTTTTTACTCTTCCATCCCTCCGTCACCACTAATCGCTTCTCCCTCCGATTCTGTGTCAACATCATCCCTCCCTGTCTTTTTTTTCATTAGTTGTCATCACAGTTCAATAAACATGAACCAAAACTATTGAAATGAACTTTTGAGCTACATAGTGCCTGATTGAGGGGTCCAATCTTGTAACTCTAAATTCTCCAAGGCTTGATTTTCATGTTTAGGATACAAAGAGTAGATATTTTCAAGCATGTTGCCATTTACATGTAGATTATCAAATGAATATTAATCCACAAAGCCAGCATGTAGGTCAGAGAGGTCAGAGAGTTTGGTTTGTGTCGTCTGTGTCACATTATTTCCTTTCTAAACTCCTTCTCGCTTGTCTTGTCTCGCAGGCCTTCAAGGAGGAGTTGGAGGGTCTGATCCAGGAGCAGCAGCGGAAAGGGAACAACCCCGCCGGCCTGCTGGCCCTCAGACAGATCGCTGACTTCTTCATGGCCAGCTCTGTGGCCGGCTTCAACGCCTCTCCTCTCAGTAAGTTCTAATTTACTGAGCGCTGTGGCACGTAGACCATTTAGCTCACCATGCCACACTTGCCCAGTGTGCCAGCACTTTTGCATTTAACGCACAGCATTAGAATCAAAGAGAGGAGATCCATTTTCAAACATTCGCTTTGCGTGCTTTAGGGCATAAATACACCAAGACAACCCAACCCCAGACTCCGGAAAGGCTGCACATACTTCTCTGAGTTTTGATCTAGGAGTCCATATGTGAAGTCTGCTTTCAATCACAGCACCGGAATGCAAAACGAATGACGAATTACATGTTAAATGTAATATAGGAATACAGTTCCGCCCTTTTTTAAGATATTCCCGTAATGAGTGCAGTAAACAAAGTATAAATGTTGCAGCATTAAATACGTCACCTCAGTTTCATGTGGATCCAGGTGTGTCGGAAACATCATTACATAAAAAGACAGATGTCTTTGGGGCTGTAAAGGATGATATGATAAAAGTGTATGTATTTTACTACTCCTAGATCATTTTCTTTAACACATTTTCCTATCCACCTTGTTTAGGTCTGGGGATGGTCACTCCTATCAACGACATGTACGGAGTTGAATCCACCACGATGGTGAAAGGCGAGAAGCTGGCGCGCTGCAAGCTGGCCAGCCTCTACAGACTGGTGGACCTGTTCAGCTGGGCGCACTTCTCCAACTCCTACATCACAGTGAGTAGCTGCACCACCAGTACGACTGAATAAAAAATCGTAGGGGTCAAATCACAGAGAATGGACACTTACCTTCCCTACATATTATTTACAGAATATCTTGCTTTAATGATATTACAGGAGATACTTAATGCTGCTTAGTGCAATTACCCAATTTAGCGATGTATAATACTTTGCATCAGGGCAATGCGTTGGTCAAGGGGGTGAAAGGAAGTCATGTTGGGGGGTGGTTGCCAGAATGCCACTTCCATCTAAACCTCAAAAAAACGATTAAGAGAGAGGAAATTGTAATTGCATCCTGTCACTGCATTAAAAAAATAATGAGTTTGACACCCCTCACAAATGCGCTTGTTTAACCAGCAACTCTCTGAAGACTTGCCCTTTAGTGCCGCTCTTTGTGAATTTTATGAGGTTTGTTTGTGTCGTAAAGGTTTTTTTAAACGAATGTGTGCATATTTAGTCATTTAAACTAGTTTAAAAAACACAGGAGCTCTGAAATGTTGGATAGAATTTTTCTTCAAATTTACAGTCATAGAAGTCAGATTTCAATCAATTCAATAATTGTACTCAACATTGTTTTGACTTTTTCTTTGTCTTAGGCACGAGTCAGTAAAGAGCAAGATCACATCCTCATCATGCCCAGAGGACTGTCCTTCGCTGAGGCGTCTGCATCAAACCTGGTAAGAAACATCCGAAGTCGTGGAACCTTAACTCGCAGAAATTATGATATTTCTCTTTTCATTTTAAAGGGGCCCTATTATGCTCATTTTCAGGTTCATTGTTTTGTGTGCCTTTTTTATTCAAGTGAGTAGCTACTGAATTGAAACACAATGAAGGAAAATGCCAACAGTGAAAATACTTTTGAGAAATGAATTTCAAAGCTTAAATTTGACTCAAGCAATCCCTTGGTTACAGTAAAACAAATTGAATATGTAGCAAACGGTGTCAATGTCCTGCTCTGTGTATGTTTTCCAACATTGCTTTTTAGATAATAAGGTTTTGGCCTTCACTGGATTGGGATAATGCTTTTCCACTTTGCTTAATCAGACATTTATTTCCATCAATTGACTTCCTTCAATTGTATCAAGAGGTCATATAGTAGATGTTGCCTTTCTATTGTTTTGTTCCCTCCCTTCCTCGCTCTCTGCACCTCGCATGTGTTTTTGACATGTGTTCGCCCCCTCTCTCTGTCAGCTGCTTTCCTGTTACAAGTCAGCAAATATTGTCATTCAGGTTTTTTGCCTGTCAAGTTTCGGTTCAAAGAGTGCACACGCTGTCATGACAACAGGGCATGCTATGTCAATAGATTATCAATAATGAGTTTAATAATCAGTTTGCTACCCTGTTTCCTCCTGCCTTACAATCATCCTTCTGATTCAGTGTCTGTTTCCGTCTGTTCTCCTCCTGCTCTCGCTCTACTCTCCCTCTTGTTTCCTTCAATGATTTTAATTCTGCTCATTCCAATTTATCAGGAAAAATATGTTTATTTCTCAGAAAACCCTGATTTGTGGTCTTAATGAAAGTATATATTCCAAAAATAGTTTTGCAGACTTATTATATAGCCTGAATGAAATACGAACGTACTGGTTAGTAGGCATTACCAGCAAAAGGGTGATTCATTTGTAATACTTAAAAAGTCATTTAACTTCAATATTGTACTGAAAACTATTGTAAAACACAACTTATGAGGTGTGTAAAACGTTTCAGTTTTCAAACTAGAAATGTGTGTTTTAGAGTATTATTATTGTCTTTTGGGTAAACTCCTTTAACAATGAAGAATAAAACATGAACAGACACTGAAAATTGACATTAATATCAATGTGCCCAGTAGAAATACATTCTTGAAATGCTTTTCAGTATCCTGGGGGATTTTGTTTGGTATTCAGGAAGAAAACATATCTGTGTTTCTTATGAAACAAAGCGTATCAGTCTATTTTTATGTTTTGGGACATTACCAAAGCTTGCAGAAAAGTCACTTGATCCTTGAATTATATATTTATTATATTTTCTCTTTCTGTCCTCTCTGCTTTGTTGTACTTTTCTCAAACCTTATTTTCAACACCTGTGCAAACACACACAAACACACACACATAAGTACCTGTGTAACGTGGCTTGGCAGCTGATTGTAGGAGCCGTACTGCTGACAGGCAGATTTCACAGTTTGACCTGCAGGAAGTTAAAGTTTAGTTCCGCATTTTTAAGTTTGTTGAGAAAGATTTGTTTCATCAGTTATTCTTTTTTTTCTACACCATTTTTGAAGTCTTGACTAGTTAGTTTTTATTAAGCACAACAAGTAAGATAATCAACAAATGTACTTTTAAGTGCAAAATATTTCCCAAGCTATTCTCAAAAGAAATACCTCTTTGAGTAATGTCTAAAAACAGTGCCCAAATGTAATTGCACATAATGACAAACAGCTACCTATTGTAACAATCAGAGAAGCAGGGTATAAATGTTCAAATCAGCTCAGTTATTGTTACTCAAGGGGATTTTGATTTACATTTAAGGACAAAAACACACACATTCAACATAAAGACAACATTTAAGGCAAACAACCAAATTAAAAAAGGAATTATAAAAAACATTGTAATGGCTATGATAAAGTGCAGTAAAGGTTCAGTTCGAGTTTAGCGCATGTTTTGCCCTTGGAAAACAAACAAACACTTATTTAACGGGGGGGGGGGGGGGGGGGGGGCGACGTGCATCTCTGGCCAGAAATACGCTGAACAAATTTCTCAAAGACTGAATGTTCAACTAAGATCAATTGTGTCCTCTGCTTAAGTTCCATGTTATATTTACCTGATAAAGAAATCTGCTTTAGTGTAGTATGCTGAGACATGAACTCTATAGGCTATATCATTTACAATAGTGTCTGGAGCACCTCCAGTTTGTCTGTGTTTGTAGAGTTGACCACAACATTGCAGCCTTTTGGAAGACGCAGCATCATTATGTTGTCTGGCACTTTCAGATTTGCCTGACTGTGTTTAAGTCTGACTGTGTTTTAATACCAGACTGTGGCTCCTGGGTTTCTCTCTCTTTCTCTTTCAGCATGTTTTTGATCCGGTAGTTACATGGTTCACTCTAAGTGCATATATAAATAAGATTTATTAGGAGGAAGTCATCCAGAATAAAGGAGTTTGAGAGGTCGTGTTGTGGTCATCTGAGTGGAGGCAGGAGTTCAGTAGTTGGCTTTGGTCAGTTTCCATCTGCCTCTCCCTCTCAATCTCTCTGTTGGAGCGCTGAGTTGAAGTCGGGGTCATTTGAGTTTGTAGAGAGATCGGTCTTTCTTTGTGTTTTTACAATTCTAGATAACATGTGTCTATTAGTTTAGTTTGCTGTCGGTGCAGTGTTAGAGAATAGTCTTAAAGGTGTTCAAGCTTCAGCTGCCCACACTTCTTCTTCAGGCCCTTATCATGTACTTTCCATCCAGCAGAGTCACATTTCAGATTCTTTCTAACACGTCCTTTGGCATCTTTTTATAATTAGAAGTGCTATGTTTGTCAGAAGGGCCTCTCAGCAGTAGGGCAGATTTTGACTGACGGGTTGAGGGCGCTGCCTTTTGAAGGACGTGACAGGGTGAACTGATACCGCTCTGGACAAGTGATTTAAACCGATCGATGTTCGATCGTCTGACAGCTGGCTAAGCTGCGGGTGTGTGCGCTGACAAAGATGGCTGTAGTTAGGTACGCTCCGCTGCTGCCATTCACTTTTCCTCTGCTAGGGGAAAGATCAATAGATGGTCCTCCATTCAAACATCCATACGGCTGTTAAAAAGCAGAGCAGCACTCAGGGTGTCTCAGGATTTCCAGCTTGAGTTGATCCAGAGACCACCAACAAGCTGTGGACTGTTTTAATTAATCAATATGATTCTATGTCAGTGCCAATGTAACACTGTGTTCTTGTTCTAATACCAAATCACGTTTTGGATGTAGAGTCAAACCCACTCATAGATTTGTTTGTGTTGTTAGTGTATGCAATAGCTATAAAGATACAAAAGAAAACCAATTGGAAGTCATGTTTTTAATAAATATATAAATGTGTTAGCATTTGGTACTTTTTAATACTTTTAGAAGAGCTCAGTACTGAAACTGGTTCAAGTCACAATCATATTCATACACTAACAAAAATATCGGAAAATACAACTTTCTTTTTTGGTGACTGCTCAAAATACTCTGCACATATTGTTTACCGACTTCCACTCAGAAACTTCCACTTAGAAATCTGATGGACAGTTATTGTCAAAACTGTTGATAATGTGATTTGATTATGCTGTTTTATTATTTGTATGCAATTCATTTCTTATTTTAGTTTTTGCTAATGAGGCTAAATGTCACTTGACCAACACCCTCCTGGTTCATCCTTTCCTTAATTAGTTTCTCCATGAACGGATTATTTCATAAGTAAAGAGCAAAGTGCAGCGGAAGTGCATCACGTGAGTAAAACGTGAAACTCTGGACACATTCAGCTAAACCAGGTGTATTTATTAGCCTTAGCCTGGATGATGGATGCCCTTTCCTGTTGTGATCACACACTCTTGGACTTCGTAATGTGAAAGAGAAATGTGAGCTTGTAGGTTCTAATTTGTATCACAGAGCAACATGTGGTTGCGGTAAAGTTGATTTATACAGAGTCTGCAGGCAAAGCTGTGTTTTCTGTTTGTTATTAGATTTTACAGCGAGGACTGTCAGTTGCTATTTCTTCAGGTGTTGGACCTCGGCCTCCATCTCCTGTTACCCGTCTTTATTTCCTCTGGTTATCCAACTCTCTTCCCCTCAGGTCTCTCCCTCTATCTTTCCCTCCATCGCTCTTCTCTCCCGCCCTGCGATCTAATCACTGCTAACTGGCTGGTAATGAAGTTGTCATAGTAAAGGACGTCATGTCCACTACCTGACTATATTATGTTTCCTGGTAACGCTCCAATTCATTTCCTGGAGATGAGCGGACAGAGAGGAGGGAAAGCTGCTAATGTGATTTCTCTCTTCATGCTCATTGATTTTGACTTGTGTTTATGTCTTCTCTGTTAATGAATGTGAGTTATGAGCTCTGTGCTTCAGTGTTAAGGGGGGCATCTGCCAGGATGCTTTAGTGTCTGGGCATATTTGATTATACTGATCTGGGGCATGGTTTGTTTTACAGCACATCTCCCTCCAGGCTTATCATCTTTCCTCTCCTCCATCTCAGGAGAGCCGTCAGTCTGACAGCTGCATCATCAGAGCCTAGATGATGCTGCTGTCATGTTTTCATACATTTGTTTAGCTTGTATTTCAGTCTCTTTGCATCAGTAAATGGTCATATATTTAAGAAAAAGTGTATTTTGATGATAACGCGGGTTTCGGTGCTGTTTAAGAACTATCAAAGTATCAAACTGTTCAATCCATGGAGAATTGCATACAGACCATATTCAGAAAGTGTGCCTTTAAACCAGACGTCAGGACTTGCATAAGGTTGTGAAGTCACGTCTAAACATAAATAGGTAGAAAGTGACTCTACATTGTCATTACAGTCATTCTCTGGCTGCAAGAATCATGATGATTGATGACAAAGACATGGAAACACTGACCAATCAGAGCAGACTTTCTCAAAAGGGTCAATTAAAGAGCCAGGCGCTAAAACTGAGGGTTTCTGGCTGAGGGAAAATAAAGGTATTTTGAGATGGCCATTATTAGAAAAATAAAGAGTTTCTTTTAAATATTAAAGCATGTAAAATTGTATAACACAGAACCTGAAAATGAGCCAGATGTTTCTCCTTTAAGAAACAGTTGGAGTGAAACAGCTTTACATCCAGCAGCTCCACCATGAGGCCCTCACTGACTTTGTCTCCTCTCCTCCTTCCCCAGGTGAAGGTGAACATCCTCGGGGATGTGATCGAACAAGGCACCACCAACCTGAGGATCGACCCCTCAGGGTTCAGCCCCCACGCTGCCATCTACTCCATGCGCCCAGACATCCGCTGCGTCATACATGTGCACACTCCTGCATCGGCTGCTGTGAGTTCAGGTTCCGCTGTGAAGTTTTCAAGCTGTTAGAAAATGGCTGTCAACGCAGCCGATTAACCTGCAGAACACCTGAAGCACTTTTTGATTTTGAGTTGTCTCAGGGAGGTTTAGAAACTGGAATGGTGTAATTGTAACCTTGAATGCAAAGTAATAATGATTAGTAAACAGACATTGATATGGGAAGTGTTTTTGATATGCAACAAAAAGGCTAATTACAGATCAGTTCAGTGTATTCCTCACAGACACATCTAACAGACTCAGATTAATAAAACAGCTGTGATACACCTGTCAATGCGTCTTATCTCTCTTATGTCTGCTTTCTTCTCACTTTCCTCCTGCTTAAGGTGTCCTCTATGAAGTGTGGCATCCTGCCGATTTCCCAGGAGTCTTTGCTCCTGGGTGATATCGCCTACTATAACTACCAGGGCAGCTTGGACGAGCAGGAGGAGCGCAGAGAGCTGCAGAAGGCCCTGGGGCCAACAGCGAAGGTAACGAAACCAAGAAAACCAAGCACTGAGGAAGGTTTTCCAGCTGGGTTCATCTTTCTAAAAAGAAAAGCCTGCTTGTAAAAAATAGCTTAATTAACTTCTTGCCTGCAGTTAGATGAGAACATTGGTCTAGCTTTGTATTGACTGCACAAAGACATGTAGAGGATGGTATTGACCTTCTCATCTAACACCCAACAACATTACAAACTATTCTTTTAACTATGTGCCCTCATTAATCCCAAATCCTCGCACAGACAGCAGATGTAGACATGAAAATAAGAAAACATTTCAGGAAATAACAGTTTGTACTCCTGTGATGTGTAGACATGATATCTTGAGGTATTTTTAATTAACATGCTCAGGAGAGGAGTGTTTTTGTTTCTTGTCATTGCTGTTAAGAATGATTATCAGGGTGGGGTTGATTTGGAGGATGAAACAGCAGCAGGACTGTCAAACCAGTCCTGATGTCAGTTACCTTATGTGCCTGCTTCTATCTGTCCCTACATGTGCTTCCCTGTGAGAGCATCTTGCTATTGGCTTTGTTTTATAATGATCAGAGTTCAACAGAATTTAATTTGGCAAAAGAAATAGGGAATTTCCAAGTTCTGTTGACATCATCTGGTCCAACCCTCAAAACAGGTTATCTTTAGTTAGTACTAGTATTATTGGACATTTCTTGGATTCCTAATGTGTGTGTGTGTGTGTGTGTGTGTGTGTGTGTGTGTGTGTGTGTGTGTGTGTGTGTGTGTGTGTGTGTGTGTGTGTGTGTGTGTGTGTGTGTGTGTGTGTGTGTGTGTGTGTGTGTGTGTGTGTGTGTGTGTGTGTGTGTGTGTGTGTGTGGTGTGTGTGTGTGTGTGGTGTGTGTGTGTGTGTGTGTGTGTGGTGTGTGTGTGTGTGTGTGTGTGTGTGTGTGTGTGTGTGTGTGTGTTGTGTGTGTGTGTGTGTGTGTGTGTGTGTGTGTGTGTGTGTGTGTGTGGGTGTGTGTGTGTGTGTGTGTGTGTGTGTGTGTGTGTGTGTGTGTGTGTGTGTGTGTGTGTGTGTGTGTGTGTGTGTGTGTGTGTGTGTGTGTGTGTGTGTGTGTGTGTGTGTGTGTGTTTTTTCCCGGTGTTGGTGCTGAGGAATCACGGTGTGGTTGCTCTTGGCGAAACCGTTGAAGAGGCCTTTCACTACATCTACAATACCCAATATGCCTGTGAAATCCAGGTAGGGACAAACACATTCAACTGCTGCTGTTTTGGGAATCTAGGACATTCCAGCATCAGCGCTAAATATAATCTCCCCAAATCCATTTTCACATTTCAACACTCTCACTATTTACTATTAAAACAGCACTCCATAGGTCATAATCTCTTGCCTCGTGGGTAATGTTGTCAAAACAGTCTCAAAGCGATAAAGGGAGTAAGTAGCTGAAATGTTGTTTTTGATATCGGTCCAGCGCAGCACGTAGAAAATGTTGTTCTTCCTTTAATTTATTGAGCCAGTCGGAAAGAATACAGAGGATTCCAGGAAGTCTGCACCAGGCATGAGAAAATAATGATTATTATATAAGATATATGTTATTGAGTGCTGTTCAATTTCTCTCTAGGGGGTACTTTTGTCAACAGTGTGTGTGGATAGTTTAGCTGAAATGCTAGCTTAAGGTAACAGATAAATGGTTAAAATGTCAGCTTAAAATAACACATTATTGTTGAAACGTGGCAGTAAGAATCCAAACGTAATCCATCCAACATAAACACAGACAGTTTAACTGTATATCCACTTGTATATCATTTATTGTTGAATAATATCCCGTTTGAAATCTAGTCAAAGGAACATAATGTGTCACATACCTACAGTTTGTATCAGGATATGTTTAGCTATCAGACATGTTGTCACATGCTATGAGGAATGTCATCATGTATCGTCGCTTGTATCAAAGGTATTGTTACAGTTTGTGTGTGCGCTGATGGACTCTTGCGTGTCTCTGTGTTCACTTGTACAGAGGATTTTAGAGATGTTGTTTTGTTCCTCGCTGTAACAGGCATACCAAATCTCCTGATTGACTCTCCCCGCTCAAGCAAAAGAAAACATTAATCCATCCTGCCAAGCCCAGCTTAATTTCTATAAATAAATCCCTCCACCATGTTTGTTGTATGCCATGTACTGTATATCCATTGGTGCTACTGTAGCTTTAGATTGAGGGGTTTCCCATTTTGGTGCAATGCTGCATATTCTCCCTTTCAATCGATGATGACATGCCCCAGATGTAATGCTATGAAAGGTGTCTTTTTTTGTATTTTATTAGCCGCAGTGGATGCTCACAGACATTGTCCTCTCTTTGTGATTGTAGGTAAAGGCCATCTCGTGTGCTGGCAGCGTAGACAACCTGATAGTGCTGGACCAACAGAAGTACAAATCATCGACGCACGACGTGACCACAACAGATATCAACATGTGTGGCCAGTACAAGTGGAAGCGTGGCGAGCTGGAGTTTGAGTCTCTGATGAGGATGCTGGATAACCTGGTGAGTCCACAGACATCAAACTGAGACTATCCCACATTCAACACAAACACACTGATAGGAAAATAACACTTATTTGATTATCAAATGACTCAGGGTCATTAAGCAACTTGATTGGATTAACCATTTTCACATCTGTCGTGTGTTTTATGAAGTGAGAAGTGAGAATACTCAGAGGATTTATTTTCCTGATTTGGCCTTTTGAGACATTTTAATACAGAACAAGTCCTTTTAAACTGATTTTGTATCAATTTTATTAAACGTAATGTCTGTTTGGCTTTGTCATTCATTCAAAATAGAAAATAGCAACACAACCTATTAGCATTGCTTCAATGTATTACATCATTGTTTGCATGTCCTCTGCAGGTTAACTCCTTTGGGGTTTGTTTTAATAATCACTCTTGTATTTATTGAAATCAACTAAAGAGGGACTAGGTAGATACAATGTGCAGTGGTGGACACTGTGGGAGAACAGAGTTGGAAAAGAGCGCCCCCTACAGAAAGTAAAGTGTATTGTCAGAAAATACAGGGAAAATGGTTAGGGTTAATGCTATGTGTGGGTACACATGTCATTAAGTAAGCACAATACAGAAACAGCTTGAGGAGGGAGAGATTGAATTTAAAGGACACAATTATACACTCTAATGTTGCATCACCACAAAGAGATGCTCTGTCGGTCATTGGTGAATGTCTTCACTCTCTCTCCGTCTGAGCTCCTCTTATCCTCTTTCTTAGTCTCGTCACTACTTGTGTCACCTTCTTACACATCCAACACTCTTCATCTCACTTATTTCTTTGTTTTTCTGCTCTTTCCTCTTTTGAGTCACTGCCTCTCAGCACTTTGAGACTCTAAACAGCTCATCCCAGCGTCATTCCTATCTTTCCTGACACCTCATTATCACAGCATTTGTATCTGATAAGCCCTTGTTTTCAGTACAAGACCCAGAACAATTACGAGAGAGTGGGGGGGAAATGACACTAACTACTCTCCACATCCCTTACTAGCAACAGGTTTACAAATCCCAAAGACGAGCTGATTAAACGTGTAGAAAATGGGCGAATGTGAGGCAAGATGTTGCAGGAAAAAGAACAGCTCAGCTGACTGCCTGCATAAAAAGAAGGAGGATCAATTCAAGTTAAAAGGTCCACTGTGACAATGGTGCTGACATGAATAGAGAAGGACTAAACGGAACTTCACTGTCAAGCCGAGTGTGGAAAAACGTTCTGACGAACAGCAGGACCAAGTGAGAGTTCAGCGACAGAGAGAGAGGGGAGAAATGGGAGTGTGAGAGAGAGGGAGAGATGAGAATAAAGAGGAGAGGGATGATGGAGGGGGGATGGAGAGAGAGGGTCAGACAGGAAATGGCTCTCTCACTCTGTCCTCTGCTGCCAGAACCCTGTGGTCACACCACTGTTTCTCTCTTTCTCTTCCATTTCACTAACTGCGACACTGGCAGCTCAACAAGCGTTACAGGAAGCGTCACAGAACAAATGCTCATTTCTGATCCTTCTGGTGTAAAAATGAAACACTGAATGCATCATTATGCGTGTATAATGAAGTGAGCTACGATCTAACACCATTTATAATTCTCGTGGTGTAAACAGGATGGACCACAGGTCAAATGGGGACTGCATAAACACATCAGAAAAGAACAAATGTATGAATTAGCCTCCATTGGATTCTTTTTCCCTGGTCATTGCAAAACTTTAAACTCATACGAAAGGAAACAGACTAATTGTGATCTTGTTTCCTGCGTCAGGGCTACAGGACGGGTCACGCCTACAGACACCCCATCATGCGAGAGAAGCCCAGGCACAAGAGCGAGGTGGAGATCCCCGCCACGGTCACAGCGTTCATGTTCGAGGAGGACGGGGACTGTGCCACGCGGCTGCCCTTCAAGTTCCTGCAGCAGCGGCAGCAGAGGGAGAAGACGCGCTGGCTCAACTCGCCCAACAGCTACACCAAGGTCAACGTCGAGGGGGGGGAGGAGCGCTACAACAGCAGGACCACCACGGTGAGTGTGTGTGTGTGTGTAAGATGATTTGAAAGACATGAGGTATTGTTTTCATTTCTAAAGGTTTGGAGATAGCTGATGACTTATCTTTTTCCTAAGGGTTTGTTTATTTACATTCATGATAGCCTGACTTGTCCTCCAGTTTATTGTACTTGAAAGTGTTTTGACTGGTTGATCCTGAGTGGTTAAAACCTGATACCAGGTCGCCATCTACTGGCTGAATAAAGAACTGCATTTATTTTTGATTCAGTTGCCCAGGTTCATGTTTCTAGCTATTTAGTGCCTTGATTAAAGTGTTATATAAATGGGTTCTCATATCAATTGTCTCAGTAGAGTTCATACGTATATTTACAGTTTTGGCTGGTTTATATTTTGAACAGATAGTGTTTATCTTACTTGTTTTCACCTGCCTCCCTTCCACAGTGGATGAAGGCTGAAGAGACAGGAACCCCAATCCGGATCGAGGACCCCAATCAGTTCGTCCCTCTCAACACAGATCCCAGTGAGGTGCAGCAGAAGAGGAACAAAGTGAGTCAAACTCCTCTCTTCTCTCAGCAGGTTTTCACATCTGAAAGTCCGAACCAACATTCTTCTTTTGGTACATCTTGTAAAAAAATATACATGACATATATCTATATATATATCTATATATAACCCATGTAAGCGGTGTAGACAGGCTCTCCCCTCCTTATTTTACATGTCGACACCAGGACTTTTTTGAGGAGATGCAGTGTTTACCCAAATACAAACTGAAACAACACAGTGTTCATTTCTCCTCATGCAGTCTGCTCTGTGTGCAGGGCATATACCGTCTCTTTCTCTCTCGCTGTACCAAACAGCTTTACTGTACTAAGCTTTTCAAAAATGTGCTCCACTTCCCCTATAATTTGATAGCGTGGCGAAACTTCCTGTAACTGTTCCAGAAGTCTGAACCATACAAGACACGTTTAACATTCAATGCAAAGTGGGTCATGGTTCAGTTATCTTCAGCACAACACCACTTCTTTATGTAGGTCCAAGATTCAGCATTCTGGGTCAGACGAGGTTTCACATCTGTACTTTTGGTTTGGAACCAACCTCTGTTGTTTCCCCGACTCAGAATGCAAGGAATCTGGGTGTGACCCTAGATAACAACCTGTCCTTCACTGCAAACATCGCTGCTACAACCCGCTGCTGCAGATACACTCTTTACAACATCAGGAGGATACGCCCCCTCCCGACCCAGAAAGCGACGCAGCTTCTGGTCCAGGCTCTCGTCCTCTCACGCCTAGACTACTGCATCTCCCTCCTGGCTGGTCTACCTGCATGTGCCATCCGACCTCTTCAGCTCATCCAGAATGCAGCGGCTCGTCTGGTCTTCAACCTTCCTAAATTCTCCCACACCACGCCGCTCCTCCGCTCACTTCACTGGCTTCCAGTAACTGCTAGAATCCACTTCAAGACAATGGTATTTGCGTACCATGCTGTGAATGGATCTGGCCCTTCCTACATCCAGGACATGGTTAAACCATACACCCCAGCACGTGCACTTCGCTCTGCATCAGCCAAACGGCTCGCTGCACCCGCACTGCGAGGGGGACCCAAGTTCCTATCTGCAAAAACACGTCGGTTTGCTATCCTGGCTCCAAAATGGTGGAATGAGCTCCCCATTGACATCAGGACAGCAGACATCTTCCGGCGCAGACTGAAAACTCATCTCTTTCGACTCCACTTCGAGCGATAGAATTACTAACAAAGAATTACTAACAAAGCACTTATATACTAATAAAGGACTGGCTTATCTAAAGCTAGTTGAGTAGCACTTGAAATGTTTTGGCTCTATGAAATCGAATGTACTTATATGATTCTGTTTTCTTCAAGTTTGTATCTTCCTGGTCGAATGCACTTATTGTAAGTCGCTTTGGATAAAAGCGTCAGCTAAATGCAATGTAATGTAATGGAACCGAAACATTTGAAAGACACAAAACAACGTGGGTGTGAAAGGGCCCTCAGTGAGCACTGGACCATACAGGTTGTTCTGTCATTTATATTTGAAGTCTGAATCGTCTTGACCTCAGTTTTAAATCAAAGAAAGTCACTAGTAACTTTTCCTGATGACGTCATTGTGTGTTTTGTCCTATCTCAGATCAGAGAGCAGAACCGGTTTGATATGATGACGTCTGGGCCGCGCTCTCAGCACCTTGCAGGAATCCCCATTGATGAACCGCGACGGGTAGGGGTTTCTTCTATTTTCATAACTTCAAATCAAAAATACACTTTGTTTGCTAACCTTAAAACCTGATTTTGGTCTGGTTTTTGTCTGGTTTTGTTGAATGTCTACACTTGACCTGTAACACAAGAAATAACAATAAGCATTGTTTGATTTAACAAACCAAACTGATTTTCTTTGCTTCCTGCTGAAAGGGGTATCAGTTCACTGCAAGTTCTTTGGCAGCAAAAATGAGATCTTCATGGATTTTTAAGGCATTTTTCCATTATTTGAATTAACAAATTACACACAGCTGCAATAACATATAAGTTACTGATGTTCTGAAGTGTGTTTCTTTCCATCTTGTTCAGAATCAGAGACTTTGACATATTTGACACTACACATGTAGGTAGAAGGATTCTGGCAAATTGAAAAAAAATAAAAAAAGAAGAGAGCTCCAGTATGTGTCGGTTTTTTGGGCACCGGTTTATTGCAGATTACCACTCGGGCTCCCTGCTGCACTAAAGCAACACTGCACATTTCCCTAATTAGTTTTTTATTGAGCAATAACTCAAAGGTGTTCTCAGTTGTTCTGGCTGATTGGACACAAGTGGAAACACCTGTGTCGGCGTTCCTTTGGTGCGTTTAATCATCTACATCAGGAGCAGAGGCAGTCTAATGACACCTCTCAGCCACCAGGAGGAGGCAAGAGAGAACATTTAGCAAAGGCTCAAGGAACATCTAGTAGGTTGGAAGTGTTACTGTACATAGCTATTAACAGGAAAGATTTAATAAACAGTGATAAATAAATAGGAAAGACACAAGTTTAGACGTTCTCAATGCTGATGGTTCTGTGGTTGGTGTCTTGTTTTTGAAGGATCTGGTGCAGATAAACCTTCTGGTAAATATCCACAAGTGTTTTTACATTTTTGCCATTTCAGTGGTGTCTTTTTTGTTCACACTTTTTCCCCCCGTTCAGAACAGAAAGACATTGCATGTTTTTATCATTATGTCATTTTTGATGATTGACACAGAATTTTCACAAAATGTCCTTTTTGTTTATTCAAAGTTGAACTTGTTGTTTTCCTGCGTGTGAGATTTTGAAATGAGATGTTATGTCTGTGCATGATGTTTTAAGGAGATATTTGAACACAAAAATCTAAGCAGACATGTTGTTATATGTGTTTTGTACTGTAGGTGTGCATGCATGACTTGTTTTGTGAGTATGATGGTATGATGCACTAGTACACGTGTCGTGCTTTAACAGTCTTCATGTTTCCACAGTCTGTTAAAAAGATGTTGGTCTGCAGACTAATTGGTTGAGAGTCTGTGCAGAGATAGTGATAACATGAGTTCTGAGTGATGTGGTCGACACTTCTATCTTTATATGAGCCGCCTGAGTTCGGTTGTAATTACCCACTCAGACACAGTGGGTTTGTGCGGCTTTGGGAGTACGTGTATGTGTGTGTATGATGGTGTTGGTGTGTTTAAATCTGTGTGTTTGTGTTCCAGAAGAAGATAAAAAAAGTATCTGTTTTTTTGCATGTGCATGAATGTATTCCTGCCCTGGTGTGTGTGTGTGTTGTGTGTGTGTGTGTGTGTGTGTGTGTGTGTGTGTGTGTGTGTGTGTGTGTGTGTGTGTGTGTGTGTGTGTGTGTGTGTGTGTGTGTGTGTGTGTGTGTGTGTGTGTGTGTGTGTGTGTGTGTGTGTGTGTGTGTGTGTGTGTGTGTGTGTGTGTGTGTGTGTGTGTGTGTGTGTGTGTGTGTGGTGTGTGTGGTGTGTGTGGTGTGTGTGTGTGTGTGTGTGTGTGTGTGTGTGTGTGTGTGTGTGTGTGTGTGTGTGTGTGTGTGTGTGTGTGTGTGTGTGTGTGTGTGTGTGTGTGTGTGTGTGTGTGTGTGTGTGTGTGTGTGTGTGTGTGTGTGTGTGTGTGTGTGTGTGTGTGGTTTCTGTGTGTGAGTGTTCCCCTCTCACCCCTCTCCCTGTCTCCCCCTCAGCCATACGTGCCCACAGAGGAGGAGCAGATGGCTCCCCTGCCTCCAAACCCCTTCAGTGAGCTGTCGGAGAAGGAGCTGCACGAGTACCGCAAGAACGTAGAGAGGAAGCAGCTCGGCCCCAGTGGTACGACACACACACACTTCAAAACACACACTTGGAAATACATGGAAACGCAAACACACCAGTGCAGATATTTATAAGTGTGTGGATTTTATTCTGAAATATTTCATGCTCAACTTGAAAACACCAAACCCAGTCACACTGAGAGACATATGGACTACACACACACACACACACACAAATATACAGTCGAGTGACTTTTACTCAATGCCAAAGACTGTGAGCAGCAGACAACCCTACCGATATGTAAAGGATATTGTAAGGACAGATTATTGTGCAGATTTAAAACAATCAATCAATCAATCAATAATCAATCTGTGAAGCCACAATTTAGAAAGCTGCAGAAAGAGATTAGAGCCAGCGAGATTTGTCACCAGATTTCAGCGAGCAGCCGGTCTTTGCTGTCCCCAAAGATGTCCCTGCTGATATATCATCAGCCAATATATCGGTTTATATTTTGGCAGAAAATTCAATTTGCCGCGTTTATGTTTTTATATGTAGGATTTTAACGCATCATCTTAACCTTAATTTCTCTTTACATTTCACAAAATGCTGCTATTACGGTCGTCTACTGTAAGTCAAATTAATTTTAAAACTATGAGAAAATCCCCCACTGCCGGCACAGTATCTTTATCGCAACTCAACTCAAAACAACATCTGAGGTTTCAACGCGAACAGCATTTGTTTAAACAAATAATATTGTCAAATGTACAATTATCATATTTAACCCTCCGGTTGTCTTCGGGTCAAATCTGACCGATTTACTATTTTCATCAATCATAACTTTTTTGTTTTACATTCGACTGCATTAAGGCTTTATGATATCCTTCACAGTAGACATTTGAACATATCAAATTGCTGATCACCACTTTCATTGAATTTTGGATGATTTAGTCAACTCTGTAACACCCATGGTGTTCCCGGTCAAAAATAACCTCCATAAAGAAAAGGAATTAGTAACCATCCGGATCAGATAAAACACACACACACACACACTCTAGATGTGTTCCCCCCCCCTTATGTGCCCAATCCCCCCATGTGAATCACACCTGGCACACACAAACACACACAATAGAAGGATTAAATGTTTCCAAGATATTTCACGAGCCTCAAAAAATCTGTTCAGTGAATATAAAGATATCAAAGTGCCGACGCACACCAGGATACTAGGTTAGACGCTGATTTATTAACAGGTTATTTTAAAAACAAGCCCCCATAGATCTCTCCTGTAATCTTTCAATAAATACAAAAAGTGCCTTCCTTAATCTCCTGGTGTGTGCTGTAACTTTGGTTCACTTAACCCGGCCCAGCTGGCACCGAGGAGAGAAGCAACGCTCTGCCCCGGGTTTCTTCAATTCCTCTTTAATCTGGCAGATAACTCTCTCTAACAAGTATCAGGCTTCTTCCCACTATCGTCGGCTCCATGAGCTTTTTCATTTGTCTGGGAGACTTTCAACTGCAGAAAAAGAAGAGACCCTCTCCTCCAGATGTGAGCCTGCTGAAGCTGTTAAAGTTGTTAACAAGCACCATCTGACAACGTCAAGCACTCATAATCGGCTAAAACAGCTGGAGCAGATTTCAAACTGAGCCTGAAACCAAATCAGGATTTCTTTAAAGTGGCAAATCTGCTTCTCCTCGTCCTTTTTGAACTTTGATTTGCAGATTGATTTCTCTACATTTTGAGTTTTATAATATCAGGGCCTGTTGCGCTATCGCCTTAGCAGCGACCCCATGGGACGCTCCCATATTCTAACACACTGCCTGCCTCAGGTATCACATACAAACACACACACATCTATATACCTTTTAACATAAGCGCTGTTCCCTGCGGGCTGTGTGTGTGTGTGTGTGTGTGTGTGTGTGTGTGTGTGTGTGTGTGTGTGTGTGTGTGTGTGTGTGTGTGTGTGTGTGTGTGTGTGTGTGTGTGTGTGTGTGTGTGTGTGTGTGTGTGTGTGTGTGTGTGTGTGTGTGTGTGTGTGTGTGTGTGTGTGTGTGTGTGTGTGTGTGTGTGGTGTGTGTGTGTGTGTGGTGTGTGTGTGTGTGTGTGTGTGTGTGTGTGTGTGTGTGTGTGTGTGTGTGTGTGTGTGTGTGTGTGTGTGTGTGTGTGTGTGTGTGTGTGTGTGTGTGTGTGTGTGTGTGTGTGTGTGATATTCAATGCTAACCATATTAGCCCTCTGTCCCACTGCCTTTCAGACAGTCAGAGGGAAATCAATAGTGAACAGATAGTATAGGCCCTCCTGGTGTGTGTGTGTAGGATCATCTACATGGATCATCCCTATGTGCATATGAAGCACAGTGTTAGTTCTCATGTGTGTTTGTGTGCACATGCACTGTAAGAGAGGCCGGTGTGACTAAGATAGCAGACCGAACAGACAGCAGGCCTTCACACCCGCCACATGATCGGAGCCCGTTGCTATGACACTGTTGCCCCCACAGCCCCACCAATCCCCGGTGGCCAATCTGGGTGCAAGCTGGAGACCGTCTGTAGTGCTCTGATATATGCCTGGGACACACACACATACAACCACACACACACAAAGGTTTTGCCTGTGATGAGGTGTGTCAAGTCCACCCTGTATATCATTTTTTAAGTATAATTGTCAAATCTAATACAATTAGGCACATGTGGTGAAGTATAAAGGAGCATATTGCAGCCATAACTGCTTTGAGGTGCACTTTTATTGGTCTTAGTACTTTTTAACGTGACAACACGCATGCAGCTTACTCTCTAATAAAAAATGCAACAACTTCAAACTGGGTTCACTCTTCAAAACTTGACTTTATGCATGTTACATTACATCTGTATCAGATGTAACATGCACACACCAGGCTGTTATGCAACCCTGTTCTATATGCCGTGACGCTAACTGTATGTGTAACCCTGAATGTGCTAATTAATGTGTTCGGTAAGTGATATGGGAATGTCATTCATTCACACGAATCAGTGTCTAAAACTAATGAAGCTGCTAAAGCTGAGCTAGACTCTAACATTTACTCTATGATGTACAGAAGCTGTTTTAAAAGCTGATTTTATCATGTGAGTGATACAGAAACTTAGTCCAGAAGTGCTTAGTTAGTTCAGGAGGCAGGAGTGGATCTTTTACAACAGTTTCCTTAGAGGAGTAAGGAAATTAAGCCCATAGAAAGTTTGTATTACCCCGAGAGAGGGTATCGGGGTCATATGTTTAATCAATGTCGCAATTCTATAAAAAGTAGATTTTCTAAATAATAAGGAGAGAATCAGTGACATAAAGCATATGTCTGTAAAATCGTATATACACTCAAATATTGTGATGAAAATCTATATACTAATTAAATAGCTTTTTTGTGAATTTTTAACCAGAGATTGTTAAAAATTATTATTTTGGTTAACAATATCATCACTAAACATCACATCCACCTATAAGAGTCAGCCCTAGCTCTTGATATAGTTCATCTCCTTCTCTTTAAAAGTGATAATGCATCATATTTTAAAGCTTTATAATAAAGCGGTAATACATGACCCACTTTGTTAGCAGGTTTTGTGTTAGCATGTGTCACAGGGAGCTAGCTGCTCTGGAAATAAAACCCTCAGCCCTTAGGGTTCCTGCCCGGGCGTCTGTGCATATCAGTGGGATCTTAAGGCTCAAGACAATATTACAGCCACCAGGAGAATCACATGACAAACGAGTGAGGATGAACAGACAACGGTTTTTGGAAATGTTGTGTCAAAGCAGCTGTGCATGGCCTGATTCTAACATGTGTGTTACCACTAATCTCTCAAACTCCCTCACCTCCCTCTCCCTTCATCCCCCTCCATCCCCCTCCCCAACCTCTCATCCCACTCACCCCTGCTGTCGTCCTGCTACTTCAATCCTCTACACCACCCTGCAATCCCCTCATCCCTCCCTCACCCCCTCCCCCCTGCCTGCAGATGGAGAGCACGAGCTAACCTCCGACGACGGCTCCACTCTCTCTCAGTCTCTCTCTCTCACCCAGTCTCCGCAAAGCACTCCAGCTAAAGAAGGTATAACTCACCCAGGGGGAGAGACACGGTGTCAGAAAGATCTTCAGTGCCTTGCTGTGTGTGTTTAAGTGTGTGTGCAAATTAATATGAAATGGACTAAAAGCTCCCTATGCAATGCCTGATCCGTGCTATGAGGATGCAATGCTCCGACTGTAATGAAACCGCAATAATATCCCATCAACTCTATTCTAAACCTAATTAGATTTGTATCCTAAATACATAGCTGCTGTTGGTCATTAAAACTCATCCATACCCACCAGGAGTGATGAAACAACCTTTAGAGCACTTTCTCGCTTGAGTAACATAACAGAGGACAGTTTTTAAAGCACATATTTATACATTTGACATTTGAGAACACAAATACAGATTCAGATCCACCCGTTTCCATTCGTTTCAGTACAATATCAGAATCAAGTTGTAAGGACTTAGTTATTATTCATTACAGCAGCGATTGTCTTAACCTTACTTGAACTGCCTGCCTTGTTGGGGCATTCAGGGACATGTCACATTTCAGAAGTGGAAGCCAAACCCACACCTTTTTAATTCAATACAACATTTACATACATTAATTCATAATAGCTATGTTAGCTTTATTCTTTGTCCTCTGGATTTGATTGTAAAGTAATAGTTTTACAATTTGGGAAAATGTTGATTTTATTGATTTACTTTGGCCAAGATTCAGAAAAGAATATCCATACCACTCATGTCTTTACATAAAGTATAAAGCAAGAGCCAGGTGATGGTATGACATGCTCAGCATTAAGATGTTAAGCAAAAAGAAGTCTTCTACGACCTCATTGGCTTTAATTGAGAATTCAAATGTTATCGTTTAAAAAAAACATAGGTGTCACACAATAGCGAATTTAGTGTTTTACAGAGTTCAATAGTTACAATATGTGTGACCGATTTAATGATGAACAACATTTACAAAATATTGATCACAAAGTCTTTAGCTAGCTAACTGTGTATCTTGAATGTTGGAGTGTCCTTCTATGCACTGCCAACTCAAATTGTCTAAACAAGTTCCCATCAGCACGAGATCATTTTCTTCTCTTGCCTTTAGTGTAAATCATGACAGACCTGCCGGGTTGGAAACATGAGCTTGCTATGATGTCACATCACATGATTTCTGGGTATTGAATGTCTCTTGCTGCCATTTAGATCTACAGTCCCATATCTATTAGCCAGACATTCTTGTGTCTGACATTTGAAGCCAGTATCTTGCCTCTTAGAGAGACAAAGATCACAGCGGCCTCTCCACAGGTTGTAAATAATGACACTGAGATTGACTTCCTGTCAGCTTCCCCCCAGCACAAACACTCAAAACCACACAATGAGTAACAATTAATCCACAACGGCTCACACTGGCTCAGGGGACCCATATTTTCTGACTCCACAACTATGAGGTCAGCCTGTAGCTGTTCTGAAACCAGGTCAATTGTTGTGTGAGTTGTTGTTAATTGTGTCTGCTTTTTTATTTTTACTCAGATGAAAATAACAGTCGTTTTTGTTTTCACATTTTATAATACAATCGGTTGCTGTGCATTCTCCACATATAGAAAGTGATGTGACATTAGCAGGACTGTTACGATAACACTCATTAAGAGAGTGGGTTTAAGCCACTTTTTTTAGGATAAAAGGAGGACAGAGGCTATCAGGTCACTGGATTTTAACACAGGCACGTCATTAAATATGTAGAGCACTGGGACAGCCTGTCTTTGCGAGTGAAGCAAAAGTTCATCGCGCAGTTCAGATGGTAACGGTGGGTTTAATGCAGCAAAGCCTCACATTAGCCACAGCATTGTGAGGTTACACACAACCACATGAAGACCTGTAAAATACAACGCAACCCAACACAGTATTCCTGCAAATACTATAACTTGGAGAAGCTTATTAATAATTGTTTATTTGATAGTGATAGACCATGGTTATAAACATTAGTAGTTGGCAAACATGCTAATTTAAGTATTTTGTCCTTAGCCTATAACTTATTTTTAACGCATTTTAGTTGAGACTGCAGGAGAGTATTTGGTCGACTATCTTTTTTAAGTTGGGCTTGTTTTTATTCTGTAATTATATTATTTACAAGCCGTTTGTCATTTATTCTTAAAACTGTTACAGCTGTTCACGTTGGCAAGCTCAGTCCTTGTCTGATGGATTCATTACTGAATATACTGATAAAATTAATTGATTAAATGAATGATAAGGATTTGAAATTGCAAAAACTGGAAAGCCAAAAATTATACTTTGCATAACAACATATCCCTAAAGGTTTTTATGACTTATTTTAGCCTGTGCGTGCTGGTTTTAGTTTATTTTTGTTATTTCTCAACATATTATTTACCACAAATATATTTCATAGGAAATGTTTTATTTATTCCATCAGTTTGGATTTAGCTTTTAGTATCTCACTATTTTTCACATACTGTAGTCTACTCTATCATGAGAACTTTGTACTCACATTAGTCATATGAAGTGTAGGTCATAAGTGTATTTATGAGTTGTGTGTGCTCCCTGTTAATACTGTAGGGCGTGTCTGGCAGACATAAGTGAAACTGACATGTCTTCGTTTCTTGTTCCGTGTCCTCATCTGACCTGTGTCCCCCCTCCCCCCTCAGACAACCACACGGGCCTTATGAACGGCAAAGAGGACCACGGCGACGTGGACAAAGATCTGTGCAAGCGCGTGAGCCAGCTGACCACCAGCGTGGAGAGCGTGGAGATCACTGTGCGCTCGAGCGAGAAGATCAAAGAGGCGCTGTCCCCCGAGAGCTCGCCCTCCAAGTCGCCCAACACCAAGAAGAAGAAGAAGTTCCGCACCCCGTCCTTCCTGAAGAAGAACAAAAAGAAAGAGAAGACGGAGGCCTGAGAGCAGACAGAGCGCCGTCTGAGGAAGAAGAAGAAAGAGGGGCGGCAGCCGTTCTGTTAACGTCTGTGTTTTTACTTTGTCTCCGTTTTCAATGTCCTCTTATGTTTTTAATTGTATTATTTTTAACAAATGCTTTTATGTGCAAAAGGCAGTAGAACGGATTACATAAAAAAGGAATTGGTTTGCAACAGAAAAATCTCCTTCTGCAAAAAAGACAATAATGTTTGTGAAAGTTTGTGATGAGCATGCGGTGCCACAGATTGAAGCTGCAGCAGGTTGGGGGTCTATAACCTCTTCACCTAGGCAGCACCCTAACAGTCCTCTTCAGAGGCCTTTGGGTGTCATTTGAGGAGATTTCAATCCTGAATAACTGGCTCCTCTTGTGGTGTTTCCCAGGCCGAAGATATAACTTGAAACCACCTCGCGTATTTCTTGCTACAAAATAAATTGTGTTGTAAAACTGCACAAGTTGAAACTAGACCTTCTTTTAAGACTCCTCCGGTCTTTTAATGGTTTGTTTTCTGGTCACCTGACTCTGAATAGGGAACTGAGAGGCTGCATGAAATTTGAAGTCACACTGGAAATCTGGTCCCAGAAAAAACAGCCACAGGGTTTGAGTTGATTTATTTACTGAGAGGTTTTCTCTCCGCTCTCTCCACTCTCTCACACTCTCCGAGCTTCTTTAGCTTCAGCTGATTGTGGCCGAACAAGAAGACGAGTTTAAGAGTGGATAGTGAGGACGAAGGCTGGCAGTTTAGCACAACTACGTTGACACAATCTCAGAATATTTATGTAGCATTTTCATATCTTCTCCTCTTCATCTCAATGTTTTTTTTATTTGGGGGGGGTTGCCAAACTAAATGGAAGAAAAGAAAAACAATCTAATTTTAGTAAAGCGTCACTGTTTTTCTAGTTTTTCATCTCATGAAATGTTATCTTTTTTTATCAAACACAAATTTGGTATTAGTCAACTCTGTTTTGTACTCATTTGTAAGCTTTTACAAAGAATTACAGATGTTACGCATGTTTTCTCTTTTTTGCAAGAACTGAATTTATACGGCTGACTATGTCCTGTAGTAATGCCTGATTGCTCAAATGTTATTCTAATAGTACAGAGTACACAAATTTACTATATAACACAGATATATGAAAACTGGATATGTTGGCTATAGATTTTTAACGATATATTTTTTATTTTATTGTGCTGCACTTTTCTCGTGGTATATAACACATTTAGTGGCAGGTGGTTTCACCAGTGAAGGAAATTGTGAAGTTTCTGATAAAAGATGTGCAAGTAGCAAGCGAGGCACGGTGCCAGAGAGAGGTCAGGACCCAGCAAGTGAGTCAAATGGAGAAAGAATTATCTTTCATTGGTGTCACATGTGAGGAATGATACTCTACTTCTCAACAAAACAGGAAGTGTAGTGCGGAAACTACCAGCAGTAGCCAGCTCAAATGAGAGTCATTGGGGGTCGTGGAGTTCAAAGAGGTGACATCTTTTAGTTTGGTGTGTTTGTGTTTTTTTTAAGCCATATTGTAATAATTGTTTCCACCATTGTTTTTTAATAATGAGACAAGGGTTGCGTTTCTCGTCTGCCTGCATGGGCGTCAAGGAGCCGAACAAAACCTCCCTAAAATCACCCCAGTGACTGCATCGAAACCCCTCAGGCTTCCCAAAAACTTTTTTTCTGTAGCTGCATTTATAGCAGCTACGTTTCCTCTCTTAATTCTCCGTTTATTTCCTCCTGCAACTGGAACATTTTAAGGAGGTCATGTGGACATTATATTTGTATTGCTTGCTCTGCGAGCCCGCTTGTCATTTCAGCGTCTAAAACCCTCATGTAATTTCTCTTGTAAACACGTTGGTGTGGTAACTGTCAGTTGACCCACAGTTGAACTCTGCAAAGCCAAAGTGTGATGGGTTGCCACATATTCTCCTCCCCCCGCAGTTTAACCAGATGTACCAATATCCCAGCTAGCAATGTGAAGTATTGGATTTGGGGGCAGGGTTTAGGGACACATCTTTAGCTGTGTTAAACGATAGCTTTTGGCTCTGGGTAAAGAGCTGAGGTCACACAACTGAGAGATAGAGAAAGGAGGTGTGAGTTTGGAAATGGAAGTGCTTATGTGTGTGTAGTAAAGAGGAAAAACCTGACACTAACGCACCATGTTTTTATCACTCAAAATGTCTTCTTTTCTCAAACCATCTCTCCTTTTGGAAACTATTTCATCCTCCATTTGTATCGCAGTAGTATCTTTTCTTCTTTTAGTTTGCAGAGAGCAATAGGCTTTTTTATTAACCATTTTATGAGCATAAATTGCTCCCAGATGAACTGAATGTGCATTGCATCCCTTTATTTTTCACCTCCTGTTTCTGACTGTTTGCACCTTGCTTTACTAATGCCTCTCTATCCATCTTTTTTCTGTTTAAAAAAAAAAAAAAACTTTGCTTTGGCATGCCAGAATGAGCCAAGCTATTTTGTGACCTGTGAAAATCCTATATAAATGGTTATCTAATGGAGTTGCTTTTAGATGTATTGCTAATCAGTGTAAATTCACAAATAAAACTGTATTTTAAGAAACGGACGCTCATTATTCATGTTTGTTCACCACAATTTGCCTCATGCCTCAAGCGTTCTTTTTAAGTTCAACACAATCCATACACACTCATGTTCCTTTATGCCATTATAATGAAGTGAGCAGGTATATGAAGTGTAAACAGTTTTAAAAGCTGAATGCTGAATTATTCATGATATATTACAGTATTTTAGAAGAGCTTCAAATAGAATGATCTTTCCTGAAATACTGTTCTTGAGTGTTAAATGAGCAGGAAACCTTTTTCCCCCTCTATTCATGGGAATGAGTATATATTTTTTGTGTGAATAGTTGAATCAGTAAGTCATGGCAAATGTATGGCAATACAAGTGAAATGTTACAATGATCATAACATATGCATAGGAAATACAGAAGCACTTGAGCAGACATGCAGAGTGAGCACAATGACACTTGACACATTTAGATATGCATTGCTCTGAAAACAACGAGGGCAGGAAAAAGAGAAGGTATTATCTCAAATAAATTCACTCCTGAATTGTACCAATCAATATGAAATATATTTTGTTATTGACAGAAATACTGTATTTTATTTTGTATCCCTGTAAAGGAGTGTATACTTTAGTATTTGTTAAGCAGTGGAGGACCTCCACAATGTTTACTGGTGTAGGAAAAAAAACGAATTACCACTACTCCAAATTAGTTATATTATTTGAAACTTCTCTAATCCCTGGTTAGTTTTTACCTATATAAGAAAATATTTAAATCAAACATTAACTAGTGCCTACTTTATTACCCACAATACAACTCTACCCCAGGGAGTTTAGTCCGTTGTCCTGTTATGCTAGCAGAAGCTAATGTCGTAAACTCACTTTTTTCTAACTTTATTTCCAAATTTGTAGTTGTAAGCCCTTTCTAGGTTCCACCCCTTTTCGTTCTGTGCTCCAATAACAGTAGAGCAAGCTTGGTCACAGCAGAAACAACTTTCCCATTTCCTTTTAAACTGATATGCTACGTATGTTCAAAGCTAAGATTACTATGTAACCTCCAGTACATTGTTGTCGCAACCTTGACCTACATATTACATTGTTTATTGTCACATCAAGCTGATAACTTAACGTCATTAAGTTAGCTCATGTTAGCTAAACATGAGCTAACTAGCTAGCCAACACTAAATAAAGAGGACCTAATATCAGATCACCAATGACGGTTGCTGATATCTTTTTAAGATGATGTGAATCATCGTTAGCCAGAAGAATTCAAGGCTAACATTATTTTGTTTATATTATCTCTGTAAGTCTACGTTCAGCACAGAAGTAACTTTGTTGGTGGTAATTATTTTGATATACACAAAGTCCAACCTCCTGACAAAAGTTGCCTTAGTGAAAGTTATCACCCTGAATATTTCCCTCAAATGCATACTGTACACCTTGTGTTTGCTTCTTAGTGTTTCCTTTTTCAAGCTTGTCCAACATTGCAACTGTAACTAAGGGGGACGGGACTTAGGATCGGATGCCTACTCAAGTAACATCACTTGAGAACATTTATCGGATCTTTCATATCTCCCTTTTAGTGCAACAAAGGCTTTATTCAACTTTTTCCACACACAAAGTAGCAATCCCCAAAGACCTTTAAACAGACGTTGATGTTTAAAATCAGTGGAGTTCCCCAGATTTAAAGTTCAAGTAAAGGTTGCGAGCCACCAACAATGGCTATGCTGTTCTAGTTGTTTTCTAGGTGTAGGTGTGACTTTTTGTTTGGCGTTCCTTAATGTGTCCACAGATGCTCTCTTTACTGCCAAAGAGTCTGCTCTTAATATCCAACTGCACTCTTTCCAGCCACAACAGGGACGTCCGTCTCCTGTTGGTAGAAACCTGTCCCATCTGTGATGCACAGCGAGCATGGACTTTCCACTAGTTCCAGGAAACTTGGGACGTGTGTGTATATTAGCAGCCAATGTGCCTTGACTGCCTTTATATCCTCAGATGCAAAACAAAATATGCAAAATTAATTTCATGATATTATGTGCGAACGTCCCTGTGAGATGTCTTTCTCTGATCTTTCCTTATCTGCTAATTAGCCATGAAATCGTGTTTACTCCTAACCCCAAACATGTCCCTTCCCTTACGTGTAGCGTCCTCAAATAATCTTCCCACCAAAATGTTTATCCTTTTGATGCTATGTTGCTGCAATTATTGATGTTTGAGATGTACATCACTTCTTACGATGTCTTTTCTTTGAAGGGGTTAGAAATTTAAGTAACGATGCTTTCTCACCTTAGCCAATTTTAGCGTGTACTCTCCTAGGGAAAATAAAACGGCTCAGCGTCTACAACTATCATCAAAAATCATACCTTTTAGGACAATTATACACGATATATTAAAGTTTACACTCTGAGAAATGCCTGAAGTTTATTTTATCGCAATATAATGTATTTTAGGGAAAGTCAACTTTAACACAAATGTTAACAATTATTGGATTCACTAAGGCACTATAAGAGACACATCAGTGTGTTAGGGAAAGGAGAATATGTCCTGGACGTTTCTGTTTCTCATTTCTGTTTTACATGTTGCTAGGTGTATCTTCCATATAAAGTATTTACAACACTGTTATCCTGCCCTGGCGTGAGTGAATGTGATATCAGTATACAGTACAGCACTTTATTTGGCAACTTTCCTGATATGAACAATAAAAGCGCATGAGCAATCTTGTGATTCGTGTGTCTTGTGTTTGTGGAAAGATTAAATCTGTTGATGGCACTTTGATCAGTAGTGTGATGGATATTCAATTACTGCTTCTTATAACTACTGTAAGGTTATGACTAAGAGGTTATTCAATTTGTTTATTGTTCAGACTTTGACTCTGGTGTATGGAAAGACAAATAAGAAATAAAACTGTTCCCTTTCGATATTGTGATGGTTCAATAAAGCTTCATCTAATAAAATGTGTCTTCCCGTATAGCAGAAAAGAACAATGCAAGATATGTGTATTTATTATTTCCAACATGTTAAAGTACAGTATACGGTCAATTGGTTTTAAGTCAAGCAAAGGTATTGATCACACAGTTAAGAGTGTTGTCGAATTTGTAAAGATCTTTTTCTAACTTTCTCATATTTTGTCTATTGGCTTGTGTTTTCATAAGTTGCCCTACATTAAGACTTCATCACCAGAAACTAGTGTCCCATTTTAGACTCAAGCTCTTCAACATACATACTGTACACACACTTACATTACACACAAACACACACACCCTCCAATAGCATCATGTTCAGCACAATTAAGGAGGTGAAGAGAGGTTTCTCCTCTCCAGACAGCACCACGCTGTGAGTGTCAAAACAATGAACCTACTTGCGTCCAGATGGATGATCTGCTAGCGGAGTGTGAAAGCCATGATAGTTTTCTTCTCAGAGAAACCCCCACACTCCTCCCCACACACACACACACACACACACACACACACACACACACACACACACACACACACACACACACACACACACACACACACACACACACACACACACACACACGCACTGCCCCACCCCGTCCTACCCGACCAGACACCCCACTCTTCCAAGGTTCACTTCCACCAGAGACTGCTGTGATGCCCAGATGCCACTGGGATGAATTAGGGACTGATAAACAACATAAGGGGTCAGTTATGTCTAGGCACAGATACACACCCCATGGGACCACCCACACACACACAGACACAGTCATACAAGCTGGTGGTACATTATCTTCCTCCAATATGTATTTTTCTGTGTGAGAGAGAACATGACGCATGAAGAAAAGGATAGATTGTGACTTGCTGACTTGCCATGATTTAAATGTCCTTGACACAGAAAAACAATGTTTGATTCTTTACCCGTCTTTGTGTTTCATGTGGTTTCACATAGCTGTTTGGTGGGGACACTTTTATCCAACATGCATTACTATGTGTCTTTTGAGCAGGGCAGTTTTATGTGAATCAAAGCCTAGAGCCATGGTATACCCTACTCAATGCCTGTAGTTGCAAATACCTGCTATAGTGGTAAAGTAAAGCTGTTGTAATGTTTCTAACTGTGAATATAAGCAGTTTTCAGCAATAAAAAGCTGATTATCTTATGGAGTAACAGTAATTGACCAACTGCTCCATCAAATTATTGAAGATGTAATATGTTCACTTTGTGCTAAGCAAGTCAGGTTTTCATTTATGGCCTCCTAATATTTAATGTATTGAAGGCTGACATTATAGATATATCTTATGTTGTTTGGGAAACTAAGACAAGGAAATCTGCTTAGCAGCATTTTGGTGTTTTATCATTCCTCCCCCAACAAGCAACACAGCGCCATTTTTTAGCATTGACCTTCAAGGTCACGGGCCACATTGGAGTCCTCAACAAAGGCCCAATGGTCAGAGAAACAAGCATGCGGTTGATATGTCTGAGTGGGACTCTCATTCAAAGTGAAAACAGTGAAAAAACTATTAATTTCTAACAGAACATTTTACAAACATGAGTAGATTTCTGATCAACTGATATAATTCAATTTAATACATTTATGTTTCAAACTCCTTTAATCCCAATAACTCTGTTAGTTACGATGATCACTGGACATAGGATACAAAGCAGGAAATAGTGACTTCATATGCACTTTTACTCAAATGAAATGTCAGCCTTGAGGCATTCTTCAGGACATAGACATCACATACAGTAGGTCATGCTTTTGTTTTACAATACAAATGACCTCACCTTACAAACCAGCCAATATGAGCAGTTGCTACATGTTGGAGTTAATCGTTAGTGAAGTGCACTTAATCAAAATGTGGGGGCTCCTACTGACTCCAGCTCTGGAACATATTAAAAACTGCTTTATACTGTCTCGCAATTAACAGATCCATGTGACAAATGCAGTGACCACTGAGAGGAATTAGTGGCATAGATTGCCTTTAGCCACAGTATCATTTGTTCTCCTAGGATATTGACTCCCCTCCCATTGTAGAATGAGACCTGTATCCTTTTGCTATAGGAAATCTAATCCTCCATTGGA